GGCACTTGATTCACACGCCACTTTTATTCATCATTCCAGAAACATTAATAATATTCTGTAGTTTATTGTAGTAATTGCAATATTACAGTACAGTATTTAAAATCATCAGCCATGTTTTATCCACTGCCGAGTGAAGGCTTCCCCACATCATGTCTCACAATCCAGTGATGCAACAATCCATTTAGCTCTGCGTATTGAGCTGGTCTCATCGTTCCATTTCAGTAGTAGTCTTGACCAAGCCCACTTTACAGCATGATGTCTGCAATTTGTGTGTTCTACAATCCTCTTCCTGCCTTGAGTGTAATTCCAAGCATGCACCTGTCTGTGATCCTTTGTGCATTTTTCAGCTTTTGTTCCATTGTATCTGTAAATATCTATTTCTGATCCACATTGAGACTAGTGACACAGGAAGTGTATCTCGTAATGGCCAGGCTGCTGCTGTATTAACTGCGTCGGCGTTTGCTTGTGCAGTGGGAAAGCTGATGGAGCTGCACGGTGAGGGTGCCGCCAGCACGGCCGCAAAGCCTGCGTCAGGCGCTGCGGGCGATGCTGAGGGGACGGCGAGCAGCACCAAGGTGGAGCGCGGGGATGGCTACGAGCCGCCTGTACAGGAAACGGTGTGAGCGCCACCACCGCTCGAGCCTCACCACACCCCCCCACCGCCGCACCAACACCAATGCACACCCTGCCATGCAACACCTCGCGGCTTGTGTGTGAATACAAATTGCGTTGTACAGCGCAAATAAAGATGGAAAGTTCAACTTTATTGTCTGCGTAGGTGTTTGTGTTTGTTTTTGCTGGTCTGCAGTGGGAACGTATAGCTGTATGAAACATGTAATGATGCATTAGACTAATTTAAATTCGTACACCACACCAATCAAAGGGTTGATTATATATGATAACTGGAAATGTTATGCTGTTACATTTTGTCATGGAGTGAACAAGAGTGTCCATGTGGGAGCAAAACATTGAACAAAAGGATAGACCTCAAAATCATGGAATCTGTCCATTTGTAACACGAGGTCAACAATTTGTAAAGATTTCATGTTCTCTGAGTATTTTTTTGTCTGTGTACGCCTATCCTTGTGAAGAGGAATCGGGAGACTGGTTAGGCACTTTATTCTTCAAACCACAGCCACACTCGTTCCTCAAAGCCACCTTGAACGCGCGGTTCACGTCAGTGGCCTTTAACCCTTGACCCCCGTCTAGTGCATTCGCGTGTGTTTGGTGTGCTATGTTGAGTGGAGATTGTGGTGCAAGTGTGTGAGGATGGCTCTGACATCCCCTACACTTGTAATGCTATTAACTGACAAACTGTTGTGTTTACCTTCTTTGGTTCTTTCGGTAAAGTCACGTAGAATGAGAATAAAATAATAAATTGATAAAATAAAATAACACAATAATATTCTCACGACGTTTTAAATCGAAATTTGTTGTGTTTACGTTTCAACAATGTACACCTAAAACAAACAGCCCCCCCCCCCCTGCCCGATCTAAACTAAGAAATTACAATTTGTAACAATGTAAGCTGATCATAATAACTTTGAGCGCACACATCTGCGCATGTGCGGAATTGTGGTTGCCCCTAGCAATGCAAACTTACTTGCTAAGTGTTAGACTTGGTGGTCATTTTGTTTACAAGAAAAAAATGAAAAAAAACTGCTAAACAAACAGTGGAGGAGCAGCGCTTTCTCAACAGCAAACAGAATGAAGGCACCTCGGCAGCACCGGCTGAAGAAACTACAGCAGCCTGCATCAAGACAAGCCAGAGACCGCACAAATACTGCTGCAGGATGGGCTAGGGAATCACTTTTTTTAGCTCCTGCCGAGGGCTTCTCAACACTTCATGCCTTGCCCATCACCCCAACTTATGTCTTCTTCCCCCCAAATGTGTGTAGTTACGACTATAGTCAGTAAATACTGCTAGTCAGATACTATAGAGTTAGTAGTTAGTGCTATAGTTGGTATATGCTATAAGTAGATACTACTGCAAAGTCAGTTACTGTTATAGTCGGTCGATACTACAGACTTGTGTGTAGGGTGAGGTATATATGCCTACAAAATATTGGGTGGTGGGGGGGTTTTTACAAATTTTGGAAACCTTTTGGAACAACTTTTTACTCCCACTTTCTATAACTTTGATTCAGGCCTTCGGAAAAGCTCGTATAATTTTGTTGACGGACAAATGGACAAACGGAATGCCAGGCTTTTGTAATACCTTAGTATTTGTGTATATGTTATGTTTTCTAAGCGAAGACAATTTTTTAAGTATTTTTTTCCCCCCAGGCAAAGCCAGGGTACTTCCTGCTAGTGGAATATAAAGTCTTAAAGCTTTCATGACTGCAGGAATTAATATTCTTTGGGTCTTTCGGTAAAGTCACGTAGATAGGTTCAAAGAAAACAAAACAACGACGTTTCGATTGCAACACAAGCGGTCGTCATCAGGAAAAGGGGATTTGCCTCTCAAGGCAAACTTTATAAAGGTTTCAATGGGTGTAGCCTAAGGGATTTAAAACGGTGTCCCCCAGCAGCATGTCGGGCGGTGCTAGCGATGATGGTAGTCGTGGGCAATGCTGGTGGTGGTGGTGGTGGGTTTCCACCAATAAAGGGCTGCCAGGTAATTATTGCACCTCGCTTTCAGCAGCATTGGCGGGGTAGCTAATGTCAATATAAGGGATTAAAAACGGTGTGTAGGGTGGTGCTGCCAGGTAATTATGCTGGTGGCAGTGGAGATTGCTGCTAGAGATGATGGCAGTCGCGGGTCGTGATGGTGGTGGGCTTCCACCAATTAAAGGGCTGCCAGGTCTAAAATGGAAACATTGCAGCCAGTTATGACTTAAACTGGTTAATAACGTCCTTCCAGTGATTGCTGAGTTTGTAACCATCTTCTCGGTTGAAATTTTGTCTGTCTATATATGGATGGCTTCATGAACGAATCTTTGTTGATAGCCAGTAGGTTTTCAAAGTACCTTCGTCTTAGAGAAATCAATTTTGTGTGAGCCCACCGCATTAAAACAATGATCAACCACGGCCGATGTATTGGTCCTACCGTGTTTCAGAATCTGCCTTATGTTCACGAACACGGTCTGAGACGTTGCCTAGTTTCCCCGATGTAACTACTGCCGCAGACACAGCTTAGTTTGTAGATGCTGAGGTATTGCATGTCAGGGATCACATCCTTCACAGATGGGATCAAATCACGAATTTTATGTACTGTGTTAAATCGAACCTGGATCTTGTGTTTGCTCATGATTTTAGAAATATTTTTGGTGATCCCTGCTATGTATGGCAAGGTGATGGTTTTGATTGGGTCCTCAGATGGTTCTTTCCCAACGGTTGGGGTGATGGCTTTACGGATTGTGTCGTCTGAATATCCATTTATTGCGATCAAAACGTCATAGTTTTTTGTTTTATTTGAACTTGTCATCGTGATTTTACTGAACGACCCAAAGAATATAATATCAAGTCGTAAAGTGTTGCTGCTATGGATTTACCCAAAGGAAAAACCAGGCAAAAAAGCCATTGCCATCCCTTGTCCTTTGATAATAAAATCCACCCACATGCATGTGAGCTGACCAGCTGTCTGGGGATGTGTGTCCTGCCCAAACCTTTTTTTAAAACAATACAACGATGAGAGATGGTGGTTGGGCATGTTGTATGGCCACGTATGGTATGCTTTGGGTGCTAATAGTACTCATGTCAACAACCTGCATGACTATACTGGATGTGTATAATGTAGCTTACCGTGCCAATCGGAGGTGCGAGGGAAGGACACCAAACTAAACCAGTTCTATCAAACATTACGACTCAATAATATATTCTTGCATAAGATTACATAACCCTGCCCATAAGAGAATAAATATATAATATTACTAGCCTTTTTGCCCGTCCAAGGACGGGTGTATTGCAGTAAATCTGAAACTTGCAAGCGACATGATATTCATTGCATCCATTCGTGTGCGATTTGTAAAGGCACGGTGACACAGGCTTATATCATTTTAAGTTTATAATCCCTTGTTCATCACGACGTCCTTTTTACTTTGATGTCTCAACAACAGCGTTACGGAGATCACGTGACGTGAGGGTTCTGCCTGTGACGTGAGGGTTGTGAGTTGACGCCGAGGAAGGGGGAGGAGGCGCCTCGCCCCCCCCCATGTGGAGTGACGTCACCCGCTAATTATTATTAATGGTAGGGGGGTGTCAATTTGGAGGACGTCACCTCATGAATATTAATCATAGGGGCTGGTCGACATGGAGTGACGTCACGAGGGTTGCCCACGACATTCTTGGCTCATTATAGTCGGTAATAATAATGGCGGCGGTGTCTAATTGGAGGACGTCACCTGTTCATGATTATTAATGAGGGGGGTTCTTCATGTAGCGTGACGTCACCTGTTCATGATTATTAATGAGGGGGGTTCTTCATGTAGCGTGACGTCACCTGTTCATGATTATTAATGAGGAGGGCTCTTCATGTAGCGTGACGTCACCCGTTCATGATTATTAATGAGGGGGTTCTTCATGTAGCATGACGTCACCTGTTCATGATTATTAATGAGGGGGGGTTCTTCATGTAGCGTGACGTCACCTCTTCATGATTATTAATGAGGGGGGTTCTTCATGTAGCGTGACGTCACCCGCTCATGATTATTAATGAGGGGCGGGTCCATGTGGAGGACGTAGCTTGTTTATGAATGAGGGGGGCTGGTCGACGTGGAGTGACCTTACGAGCGTTAAGGACTTTCCTGGGTGATTATAGTCGGTGTTGGCGTGCTTCAGGCGATGGATCTGTTTTTTTCTGAAATGTCGCATATATTTTTACCTCAGACCAACTATTGACGAATGTATTGAGTTTTGTTATTATTTTGTGCCCCAGCCGGGGGGGGCAGAGGAGGGGAGGAGTCGGGGAGGGGGAGGAGTCGGAGAGGTGGTGGAGTCGGAGAGGGGGTGGAGTCGGGGAGGGGGTGGAGTCGGGGAGGGGGTGGAGTCGGGGAGGGGGTGGAGTCGGGGAGGGGGTGGAGTCGGTGCCGTGGTGTCTGCTGGGCGCGCGTGGAGCCGGCACTGGGAGTCGCAACGTCGTGCGAGTCATGGCGGACAGCTGCGAGGAGAAGAAGGCCGCGGTGGCGGACGCCGTGAAGGCGCAGGGCGAGGTGGTGCGGAGGCTCAAGGCGGAGAAGGCGAGCGGCCAGACGGTGCGGCTCTCCTCCACGCCGGGCCGCGTTTCATTTCCCAGCCCTGGTCGAGAGGCACCCGGCCGTGCCCATTGGCTGGGCTCGATCACGTGACGGAACGCGCGCCTCGCGATTGGCTCGGGCCCAAGGGCTCCGGGAAAATGCGGCGCGCCCGAGTAACAGACCGCGTGTGTGTGACTGTGTTAGTTCATGTGTGTGTGTTAGTGTGTGTGTGTTAGTGTGTGTGTTAGTCTGTGTGTGTTAGTCTGTGTGTGTGTTAGTTCATGTGTGTGTGTTAGTCTGTGTGTGTGTTAGTTCATGTGTGTGTGCTAGTATGTGTGTGTGTTAGTTCATGTGTGTGTGTTAGTCTGTGTGTGTGTTAGGTCATGTGTGTGTGTTAGTATGTGTGTGTGTTAGTTCATGTGTGTGTTAGTCTGTGTGTGTTAGTCTGTGTGTGTGTTAATGTGTGTGTGTTAATGTGTGTGTGTTAGTCTGTGTGTGTTAGTGTGTGTTAGTCTGTGTGTGTGTTAGTGTGTGTTAGTCTGTGTTAGTGTGTGTTAGTGTGTGTTAGTCTGTGTTAGTGTGTGTTAGTCTGTGTGTGTTAGTCTGTGTGTGTGTTAGTCTGTGTGTGTGTTAGTCTGTGTGTGTTAGTCTGTGTGTGTGTTAGTGTGTGTGTGTTAGTCGGTGTGTGTTAGTCTGTGTGTGTCAGTCTGTGTGTGTTAGTCTGTGTGTGTTAGTCTGTGTTAATGTGTGTGTGTTAGTCTGTGTTAATGTGTGTGTTAATGTGTGTGTGTGTTAATGTGTGTTAGTCTGTGTTAGTCTGTGTGTGTTAGTCTGTGTGTGTGTTAGTCAGTGTGTGTGTTAGTCTGTGTGTGTTAGTCTGTGTGTGTGTTAGTCTGTGTGTGTTAGTCTGTGTGTGTTAGTCTGTGTGTGTTAGTCTGTGTGTGTTAGTCTGTGTGTGTGTTAGTCTGTGTGTGTTAGTGTGTGTTAGTCTGTGTGTGTGTGACAGTCTGTGTGTTAGTCTGTGTGTGTGTGTGACAGTCTGTGTGTGTGTGACAGTCCGTGTGTGTGTGTGACAGTCCGTGTGTGTGTGTTAGTCTGTGTGTTAGTCTGTGTGTGTTAGTCTGTGTGTGTGTTAGTCTGTGTGTGTTAGTCTGTGTGTGTGACAGTCTGTGTGTTAGTGTGTGTGTGTGACAGTCTGTGTGTTAGTGTGTGTGTGTGACAGTGTGTGTGTTAGTCTGTGTGTGTGTGACAGTGTGTGTGTTAGTCTGTGTGTGTGTGACAGTGTGTGTGTTAGTCTGTGTGTGTGACAGTCTGTGTGTTAGTGTGTGTGTGTGACAGTCTGTGTGTTAGTGTGTGTGTTAGTCCGTGTGTTAGTCTGTGTGTGTGTTAGTCTGTGTGTGTTAGTCTGTGTGTGTGTTAGTCTGTGTGTGTTAGTCTGTGTGTGTGACAGTCTGTGTGTTAGTGTGTGTGTGTGACAGTCTGTGTGTTAGTGTGTGTGTGTGTGACAGTGTGTGTGTTAGTCTGTGTGTGTGTGACAGTGTGTGTGTTAGTCTGTGTGTGTGTGACAGTGTGTGTGTGTTAGTCTGTGTGTGTGACAGTCTGTGTGTTAGTGTGTGGGTGTGACAGTCTGTGTGTTAGTGTGTGTGTTAGTCCGTGTGTTAGTCTGTGTGTGTGTTAGTCTGTGTGTGTTAGTCTGTGTGTGTGTTAGTCTGTGTGTGTGTGTGTTAGTCTGTGTGTGTGTGTGTTAGTCTGTGTGTGTGACAGTCTGTGTGTGTGACAGTCTGTGTGTGTTAGTCCGTGTGTGTGACAGTCTGTGTGTGTTAGTCCGTGTGTGTGACAGTCTGTGTGTGTTAGTCCGTGTGTGTGTTAGTCCGTGTGTGTGACAGTCTGACTGTGTGTTAGTCCGTGTGTGTTAGTTCGCGTGTGTTAGTCCGTGTGTGTGACAGTCTGTGTGTGTTAGTCCGTGTGTGTGACAGTCTGTGTGTGTTAGTCCGTGTGTGTTAGTCCGTGTGTGTGACAGTCTGTATGTGTTAGTCCGTGTGTGTGACAGTCTGTTAGTCCGTGTGTGTGTTAGTCCGTGTGTGTGACAGTCTGTATGTGTTAGTCCGTGTGTGTGACAGTCTGTTAGTCCGTGTATGTGTTAGTCCGTGTGTGTGACAGTCTGTGTGTGTTAGTCCGTGTGTGTGTGGTAGTCCGTGTGTGTGACAGTCCGTGCGTGTGTGACAGCCTGTGTGTGTGTGACAGTCTGTGTGTGTGATAGTCTTTGTGTTTGTAAGTCCGTGTGTGTGACAATCTGTGTGTGTTAGTCCGTGTGTGTTACAGTCTATGTAAGTGTTACAGTATCTTTGGGTGTTGTTACAGTCTTACAGTTACAGTCATTTGAGTGCGTTACAGTCTGTAAGTATGTTAGTGGCGTCTGTGTTCGGCTTTGATGGCGTTACAGTTTGTGTTACTTCCCTAGGTCGAGTCAATCTTTAAATGAGTCCCCGTTCCGATGTTACATCGTCACTGGGGAAGGGGGTGACGACGGCCAGGCGTGGTGCTGAGCACCCATCGCCTCGTGCACTTTAGCGGCCTCAATAGGCACTCGCCAACACCACTTGTCCCAACGGCCTGCTTAGGGCCATACGCGGATCGTCGTTTTTGTGTTACAGTCGGTGGGGAGTGGTGGCGCAGCGGTTAGCGCGCTGCGCTACGATCCACGGCCACCCGAGTTCGTCGATTCCCGCTCACAGCCACCAACACCGGAGGGTGACGATTATCTGAACCGGTTCTGGGCCTCCCCTAGGTCGATTCGGCCTCAAATGAGTACCTGGTGCGGTGCGTAAAAACATCGTCACTGGGGGAGACAAAGGCGGCCGGGCTTGGTGCTAACCACCCCACCCCCTCGTGTGCCGTGCCGGCCTTCATAGGTGCTCGCTAACAGCATGTCAAGGCTATGGGGGGTGGGGGGTGTAACAGCCTGTGTGTTTGTGAGTGTATCTGTGTGTAAGAGTTACGAGTCATTGTTTCTAACGAAACAGGTCACTTGCAAATGAGACTTATCCTGGAATCTTGGGTGTTCACCCGGTTAAATGAATTAAGTTTGAGCGTGTAACAGTCCGCGTATGTTTTAAAGAGTTTCGAGTTTATTATTGTGTAATCTGGTGAGAACTGGAGAGATGGGTGGGGACAGTCTTATTGTCAAGCAGTGACCTGAGTAGTGATACTCTCTGGTTCTTTTAGCTTTACCGAAATAAACAAAGAGTATGGATTCCTGCAGTCATGAAAGCTTCAAATCTAAACCTGAGCGATCGATGTTGGATGGGGAGTACGTGGCTGGCGTGTGTTAAGATGTTGTGTGGGGAGTACGTGAGTGTCGTGTGTTAAGATGTTGAATGGGGAGTACGTGAGTGTTGTGTGTTAAGATGTTGTGTGGGGAGCACGTGAGTGTCGTGAGTTAAGATGTTGTGTGGGGAGCACGTGAGTGTCGTGAGTTAAGATGTGTGTTGTCGCTGGTTGAATCGTGCGTGGGCCACCCGATACCTGTGCGCGTCCTGTTTAATGTCTGTTCAAGGTGATTTCTTTCAATCTCAAAGTGTTAACACAACCGGCGAGATTCCGTAGATGCCACGGGACAAGGACGCACCGTTTCATGACCACGTTTCACTTCCCTCGCCCGCGATTCGAGCTTTGGTGTAATCGATAGCTTCCGATTCCTATTGCATCTCTCTGTGGATTGACATTGCTGCAAAGTGGACGTGTGTCTCTTGTGTTTTTATGCATCAAGACATTTCACCGAGGAAAACGCCTCGAGATGGGAAATGCCAAGGTGTTACCGTGGAGATTATTTGAATCGCACAATTGTGGGATATCTACCGATCTGAATACTACACGGCGCATAGACTCCACATCACGATGGGGATCGTGAAAGATTCTTAAGATACCGCCACAAAGTCTATTTTCAAATTGCTGTCAGCTTTGCAGACTCGTGCCGTAATATATTCTTCAGGTTCATATCGTTGCCGATTGATAGTTTCACACACCATAGATTCCACATTGATACCATTACAGTCTTCCTCTTTGGGCTGGCAAATGTAGACCAACTATAAATTCATTTGGAAGTCATGTAGCCATTACCAGTGTCCATTCTGCATCATTGACAAATTTCGATTCTGGAATTGAACCGTGATTCCAAATTTTCACCATGGAATCGTGGATGGCTCTGTAATCTGCATTGCGTCGTGGTGCCGTGGAGCTAACTTTGTGCTGGGCCCCCCTACGGCCCTCTAGGGCCCAGGCTGGCTCTCCATGGCAAGAGTTTCCCCAGGGGCCACTCGTGGTTCTTGGTTTCTGTTCCACTCACCAGTCCCCTCCCACCTCAGAGATGATGCAACTGCCAACGTGGGTTGCATGCGCGTTCATGCGTGCTTTGTCATTTCAACCCATTGGAGATTCTAATATAGTATGCTGGTATTCATTTTGGTAAAATTTAAATAATTAAGTTGAAAATGTAAACCTATCTTCAATAAAACTTCTCAATTGTTTTTTTTCCAAGCTGATTTGGTTTGCATCCTATCACTTTAACCCTATGTGTTTGTTTTACTGCTGCTCAAACCGTTTCCAATACAATGGTAGCTGTCGCCAGGCAAGCCCTAAAAACTAACTAGTAGTATTTTTGTTATTGTTGTTTTGCAGATTTCAGAAGAAGTAAAAAAACTTCTCTCCCTGAAGGAGCAGCTGGGCCTGGAGGAAGGAAAGCACACATTTGTGCTCAAAACCCCAAAGGTGCGAAGGGAGGATCGATTTTGCTATGATTGTTTACGGTTTATTTGGCTGCTTTCTGTAATAATTCTGTTCGTAAATTCCAAGGTAGGTGATGAGGGAAGGTTGTGACAGGTGACTTGGTTATATTTAGTAAAGTTAATGGCTGTGGTGTGAGGGAAAAATGATAATTCACAGGTCACGGTATAACATACAGCAGTGCCGAAACAAATGATTGTTTTCAAATAAACATGTGTAAAGAAATATTACAATAACCGTTTAAACGTTTAAAAAAGCTAAGTTGCTCATACATTTTTTTGGGGCATTTATAATCAAATGGTATAGAAATTATTTGAAAAAGAATAAAAAAGAATGGGGTGGCTGGCTTGCATTGGGACAGCACTGTGTTCCCTACCCCTCCATGACCTCAGTGGCGCTGGCACCACCCCGCCATTTGTGAAAGGAAATGAAGGAAGAGTGAATATAATGAGTTTCTATAGCCATTTCTATGATTTCACTGACTTGATTAAAATTCACCATTTCCGTGACCTCCATGCAATAATTGTAGCCTGAGTGATGAGGCATAAAGTCTAGGCCGGAGGTGGCAAAATGAAGAATAGTTATGTGGAGCAGGCACGCGCACTTCACGAGCAGGTAGAGAATGGGAGTACCGTGCTGCAGACTATTAATCTAGAGTTTACAGGCAAAAGGGTGGTTAATATAACATGATTACATCCCACAAAAAACATTTTTGGTAGGGTCATTGCCTATGCTGAAATCATTTATGAAACCATCTGCACATGCGCTCTTATCAAATTACCATTAATGGAATTGGGAAAACATTACAATGCAGGAACCATCCTAAAAATATTGATATATTTTCGTGTATATAAAGGATATTACGTGCTCTGATGCATGAATATGGCAAACCTCTAGTCTCGCGAGTTTACCATTCTTCTCACACTCTTTTTTGTTATTGCGTACATAATCATTTACTTACCTCTGTCTTCTAGTCTCACACCACCTCTATCTGGTAATTTTCACTCCACCCTCTGGCCAAGCCGATGCATCGCATGTGTCCAAACTTGAGAGGTCTGTTCTCTTCTTTGGTTCTTTCGGTAAAGTCACGTAAATGGAAAATAATACAAAAAAAACTCACGATGTTTCGAACACCAACACAAGCGGTCGTCATCAGGTCTGTTATAGACACTCATCTCCATTTTCGGGCACGTTTGTCTGTGTGTGTGTGTTGGCCTACTGTAGGGAACGCGGGACTATGGGCCCCGCCAAATGGCCATCCGTGAAGCAGCCTTCAAGGTCATCGTGGACACCTTCAAACGCCATGGGGCTGAGACCATCGACACACCCGTTTTTGAGCTCAAGGTAACGGGCGTGTACGGGCATCACTGATCCATCGCCAGTCCATGGAATTAAAAATTGAGCTTCTAGTGAGTCATATAGAGCCCCACCAACTTCCACCTGATCACTAGGCCAAGGGAACATGAGCTGAGATCTCTCACACCACCTTAGGACAGGAATGAGCCGCTTCTGCTGTGGCACCATCAGGTGTGCAGACTTCACCTGGGGACTCGGTGACGGTCTCCTCTGTTGCTGTTGGGAGGATGAGAATGTCGCCGCATACTGAGCAGGTGCCCCGTCAATGCTGCGCTCCCTGGGGGGTTTACAGCAGCCATTACGAGGCAAGCCCTACTGCTATTGCCCCATTTACGGGCTCACTACTAACAGCGACTTTTCCTTTAGCTTAATGTTTTTTTGCTATTAATGTTGATTGGCTTATAAAAAAAAAATAATTCAAGATCCACTCCATAAATAACACACCTGCTTTGAATTTCACCAGCTAAGCTTTACCACCCCACCCATATTCCTTGCCACAGCAAATGGAGCTGCCTGGTGACCTGTTAGTGAGCCTTCACCACTCCATGTAGTTTTTCAGTGCATCAATCCTGGCACTGGTACCATTGTGAAATGACCAATGTTAAAGGGAAAGTAACAGTCATGTAAGCATTTATTCGTTGATTAATGTGCATTCCTGCACTCACAATTCACGTGCCGAATTGTTAAGTGTAAGAATCCATGTCAATCGCACATGAGCATTGATGAATAACAATTAAAAAAATGATCATGCAAATACAATACCAATGTTATACTTTGATTTAAAGCTTTCGTGACTGCAGTAATTCATATTCTTAGCTCTTTCGGTAAAGTCACGTTGAAGGGAAACAATAAAATATATATAAAACAATAAAAATTCTCACAATAAAATAATATTTTATTACTTTATTGTTTCCCTTCAACGTGACTTTACCGAAAGAGCTAAGAATATAATGTTATACTTATCAAATAAATCTGTACAAATGAGGCAGATCGTGAAAAAAATAAAACAGACGATCAAACTAATACAAAAAAGAATACATTTGTAATCATGTTGGGAAACCCCATATAGTGATAAATCATTGAATCTTGTTACATGTTTAGAAATTAAGTCGGATATGTGTGTGCTGTGTGTAGGAGACCCTTACGGGAAAGTACGGAGAAGACTCGAAGTTGATTTATGATCTCAAGGATCAGGGAGGGGAACTACTTTCTCTGCGATACGACCTAACTGTATCCTTACACTACATTCAAATATATGTCTGTTCACTCATTACAAATGCTAGACGTTAATCGACCAGTGAGGTCTTGTCCTCTTTCGAGGTATTTAAAGCCTTGTTCTTTATTTAGGTGTTTGAACTATTATCCCTTAACAAGGTGTCTACAAGGTCCCGTTTGCCCGTTACCTGGCCATGAACAAGGTGACGAACATCAAGCGCTACCATGTGGGCAAGGTGTATCGCCGTGACAACCCGGCCATGACGCGTGGACGCTACCGCGAGTTCTACCAGTGTGTGAGTGCATTGTGCGAGTACAGCATGTCGATGTGTCTTCGTCTGTGAGATCAACTCTTCTTTTAAATGAACCGGTCCATTGTGCATATTATGGTGAGACTTTGGCCACACCACCCACTTATGCTCGATTAACATTCTGTATTTGTCATTGGATGTGTTTGTTCTTATGTAAGTGCTGTGTGGGTAAGATGGCCGCCTTCCAGCTATGCCGCTCCCCTGTGGGTTTTGTGAACATGTGGCTATATGTGCACTCATGTGCTTGTGTGTAAACAATATACACGAATGTGTCTGCATCTGTTGTAGGATTTTGATATTGCTGGACAATACGACCCTATGATTCCGGATGCCGAATGCCTGAAGATCGTCCATGAAATCCTGACAGAGCTCAATATTGGTGACTTCATTATCAAGGTAGGAACATATGCTTTTTCAACAGCCCCCTTCACTAACACAGCCCCATCTATATTAATCTATTCCTCATCTATTGATGTAACACCTGTCTGGTACGACAGCACCTTCATCTTAACTCTGCCCCTATTTCTTAAAGGAAGATGGAACTTAAACAAATGATTGGATTATAGCTACACGTAATTATTATAGCTACGTAGCACACATCTCAGTGTGTGCTACTTATAATGTGAGTATGAAGTTACGAGTCTGTATTACCTGCTCTGCCACATTAATTGGAAAGATGAACAATGTCAAGAAAAAATTGGAACAAAAGCTGAAAAATGTGTAAAGAATCATGGGAGTGGTACATGCTTGGGATTATACTTAGAGACAGGCATGGGAACACATGGATCATGTACCGTATGCAAATTAGAGACATTAATTGTATCGCACCTATAAGGCATGATGGCCCATGGCTGAAACTGACGATAAGTCCTAAAGATTACATTTTTTCAAGGGGTTATGTGTTGAGATGTTTAGGCAATTGTGTTAATGAGTGTGTAGCGTAGAGAAAACCCACATGTCGGAAGGGAAAACACTTGTGCTGCCATCTCCTGGCCACTTTGCAGCCCAAAGTACTAACCAAACTCAACTCTGTTGCGCGTTTTGAGGCCATAATAAACATAGAACTATCAAAGTGCAATCCCTAAGCTTACAATACCACCCTGTATCGAAAGAGAGTCATGCGTTGATATTTGTGTCATTGTGTCGCGGTTGTGGTGCAGGTGAATGATCGGCGCATCCTGGACGGGATGTTCGAGGCGTGTGGCGTGCCCTCTGAGAAGTTCCGCACCATCTGCTCGTCCGTCGACAAGCTGGACAAGGTGCTGGTGCAGCCGGGCTGGCCGCGGGCGTGCGGTTAACATGCATGTCCTTCGCGTGTCAGTCACGTGTGTGTGTTAGGTTCAATAGTCGTTCATGTGTCATTAACGTGATTCACTTAACATGTGACAAAAAAAAATATTCAACTTACCGGTGAGATAAAAATAAAATAATTGGAGTGGTAAATGCTTGTAGATGTGACCATCCAAATCGTTTGGCTGTTGGGGTGGATGAGGGTTTCAATCAAATACATTTGGCCAGATCATTCAATGGAACCCAAGATTCAATGATAAATGTGATTCACAATGGTGTATCTACCGCATTAGCTTGTGTGAAATGTGTTATTAGTGTTTGTGTGTATGTTGAACTTCTTTTGCACCTTACGCAGCCAACCGTGCTAAACGGAGGTGTGTGTGTGCTCCAGGGGTAGTGAATCATTAGCATTTTATTAATGTGTGTTGTTAGTCTGAGGTAAACCTATAAATTGCATCTGGTGCAGTGTCACCTAAAATTGACTGTTGAGGATGGCAATAGGAAACCGTATAACATATTCTTACTTATGTATGACTCAAGTAATTGAAAGTGGAAACCAGTAACATTGAGAACATCAAAAGGAGAAAACCACTGGGAGGAAAGAAAGAGTCATGTAGGATTAGGAGCAGGGCAGTCCTAATTGTAACAATTCAGAGAAGGTGACACATACATATGAAGCTAATTGTCAGACGTTAAGGCTTGCTGAAGAAAACTCCAGAAAGATACAGGGGAATAGGCCAAGAGGTTGAAAAAAGGCAGGCGCTGCTCGACAATTTACAATGAGGAAGTCTGTGTTGAAATGAACAAAAAAGTGTATGATTGGAGAGAATCGAGGGAACATAAAATTGCGCTGTTTTTGAGTTGTACGCCTTTTGGCGTTATCTGGTCCAACACCAGTGGAGACTAGGCTCTAAGAAAAGCCGTCTCGGGTGTGGACCATTCAATTTCAAGGACAGTGCCAATATTATTACTATCAGAGTTGTCTCTTTTTGTTTGCATTTTGACTGCTTGTGTTGTGGTTATTGCAAACATGATCCCTTGTATAAAGGTGTCAGTTTTGGTGCCAGATAAAAGGGTAAAAACCTATTACAAAAAAATTACCAATTCAAATGTACAGTTATATGCGTATAGCGTGCATAAAAATTTATTGTAATGGATGAATCGGTGCGTTGTGAGATGTGCGATCCCGTACGTGATTAAAACGCGATTCCGTTTCCTGACAGACCCCGTGGAGTGACGTGCGAGCCGAGATGGTCGGGGAGAAGGGGCTCGACCCGGAGGTGGCCGATCGCATTGGGCAGTACGTCCAGAAGCACGGTAATGCCGTCACCACAACGACCACTTTAACCAACACAACCACCACGATAATCACCACGATCACCATATCTACAACTATCAAAGATCACTCGTATAGCCTTAGCAGACTGTAGGAGCTAGTGCTGTTAGCGAGCACCGATGAAGGGCCAGCATGGTACACAAGGCGGAGGGTGGTCAGCACCAAGCCTGGCCCCCTTTGTCTCCCCAGGCACTCATTTGAGGCTGAGTCGACCTAGGGGAGGCCCAGATAATCGTCACTGGTGTTGGCCATGAGCAGGAACAGAACCGAGGCCGCCGAGTTCATAGCGCAGCTTGCTTACCGCTGCACTACCGCTCTCCACCTACCACCATCAACACAACTACCCCCATCACCTTGGATAGCACTGCGAACATCACCATTGCTACCACCACAGTTATTAACACCACCACCGTCACCACCACCGTCACCACCACCGTCACCACCACCATTGACACTGTGATCACAATCACTAATTCCATCAAAAGCAATATATCAACAACACCATGACCGTCACCTCCACCACCAGTGTCACCACCGCCATCACTATTACATCAACACCATCGACGCTACCACTACCGCCACCACTTCCACCACCACCACCACCACCACGGTGGTCAGCGTTATCACCACCAGCACGGGCATGCGTACACGCGCTGTATGTGTATGGGGGGGGGGGGGGGGGTTGCAGGTGGCCAGGCCCTGGTGGAGGAGCTGCTGCAGGACTCCGTGTTGGGCCCCAATGCCGCCTGCAAGGCCGGCTTGACTGACATGCGCCTGCTGCTGGGCTTCCTGCAGATCATGGGCATCACGCAGCAGGTGGGGAGCCTGACACTCGCTCACGATTATTGCTACCGACACGATAATCACTATCAACTGTGATGACACCCGAGACACGCAACTGATACGACACTCAATCAACCCTCACGACACTTTCGACACTCATGATTTATGTTTCTCACTATTGACACAACACTATTAGCTCTTATGAACCTCACAACTCTCAAGTTACTCACTACCCACGATTGCATGTCACGAACCCTTGCCTGACCCCTCCCCTGTTACCCTCTCCCCGGTCCCCTATGCGGTGCCGCAGGTGAGATTTGACCTGAGCCTGGCGCGAGGACTTGACTATTACACGGGCGTGATCTACGAGGCCGTGCTGCTGAGCGGAGGTGACCCCCAGACCGGGGAGGAAGGGGGCGAGGGGGGCGTGGGCAGTGTGGCCGGGGGGGGGCGCTACGACGGCCTTGTGGGGATGTTTGACCCCCGGGGGCGGCGCGTGCCCTGCGTGGGCGTCTCCCTCGGAATCGAGCGCATCTTCTCCATCCTCGAGGTGCCGGCTCCACAATCCTGGCGCTGTCACACTGCACGCTCGAACTACCACTCGCTGCAGGCTCGCACTACCACTCACTGCACGCTCGCACTACCACTCACTGCACACTCGCACTACCACTCACTGCACACTCGCACTACCACTCACTGCTCGCTCGCACTACCACTCACTGCACACTCGCACTACCACTCACTGCTCTCGTTTGCATAAGGAGAAAACGGAAGGAAGCTTTTGACCTTCATGTTAAGTGCTTGCCGATAGTGCAGTGAATTCCATAACATAAAAGTTGGAATCGCTTCTTAAAGGAAAGTATTGTCATAACCAGTCGGTATGTGTAATGATTCCTCTGTTTACAATTCTATAAATTGATTTTTGTTCATGCTATAACCTAAATATAGCATCATATAATTTGCAATAGTTAATCAGTTATTCTTACATGCACAAATTGAAGCACGGCTTTTGAACTTAATGCTCTATAAATGTGCTATGCTGTATTCCCTGCCGGCCTTAATGGTTGCGCCCTTGCAGCACTTTCCACGGCCAAGTTGGTGGGGGATCTTTGTCTCCATTTATACATTTATACTCGTGTATGTGCGTTGTGTTAAGTATGTAGTTGTATGTACAACACATGTATGTTTATATAGATAACGTGTGTGCGTACATTTACAGGCGAAGCAAACAGATGTGCGCACGACCGAGACGCAGGTGCTGGTGGCGTCGGCACAGAAGGATTTGCTGGAGGAACGGCTCAAGCTCATCACGGAGCTGTGGGGTGCCGGCATCAAGGTGTGCACGAACGCACATGCGTACACAAGCACGTGCGCGCACACACTTAATATAAACAAAATGATTATCTCACAGTTAGTTTTATATCGCGTCATTCATGCAAATTTATTTTCACAATCGCTGAAGAACCACACACGAACTGGAAGCCAGCACCAAAACATTTCTTCTGCAGTTCTCTATATATTAATATATTTTCAGCCATTTAGTGAGTGTTTCTACATGTGGGAGGAAGCCAAAGCTCTCGGAGAAACCATGTATATGAGGGGCAACACTCGTCCAGAAGAGAGAGATGGCAAGCCAGGGTATAGCACCTCAATGCCTAAGGGAAGGGCGATTTGCAGCATTTGTCATTTGTCCGATTCACCAACCCTCGCCACCTCAGTGCTGGATTACACGCATGCACCACCACCCAACACACACACGCATGCACCACCACCCAACACACACACGCTGGCACCACCACCCAACACACACACGCATGCACCACCACCCAACACACACACGCATGCACCACCACCCAACACACACACGCATGCACCACCACCCGACACACGCATGCATGCACCACCACCCGACACACACACGCATGCACCACCACCCGACACACACACGCATGCACCACCACCCAACACACGCATGTGCACACACATGCATGCACCACCACCCGACACACACACGCATGCACCACCACCCGACACACGCATGTGCACACACATGCAGTTGCCAATGGAGGTACAGTGAGGGAAAAAAGTATTTGATCCCCTGCTGATTTTGTACGTTTGCCCACTGACAAAGAAATGATCAGTCTATAATTTTAATGGTAGGTTTATTTGAACAGTGAGAAACAAGAAAATCCAGAAAAACGCATGTCAAAAATGTTATACATTGATTTGCATTTTAATGAGGGAAATAAGTAGTTGACCCCTTCTCAATCAGAAAGATTTCTGGCTCCCAGGTGTCTTTTATACAGGTAACGAGCTGAGATTAGGAGCACTCCCTTTAAGAGTGTGCTCCTAATCTCAGCTCATTACCTGTATAAAAGACACCTGTCCACAGAAGCAATCAATCAATCAGATTCCAAACTCTCCACCATGGCCAAGACCAAAGAGCTCTCCAAGGATGTCAGGGACAAGATTGTAGACCTACACAAGGCTGGAATGGGCTACAAGACCATTGCCAAGCAGCTTGGTGAGAAGGTGACAACAGTTGGTGTGATTATTCGCAAATGCAAGAAACACAAAAGAACTGTCAATCTCCCTCGGCCTGGGGCTCCATGCAAGATCTCACCTCGTGGAGTTGCAATGAACATGAGAACGGTGAGGAATCAGCCCAGAACTACACGGGAGGATCTTGTCAATGAACTCAAGGCAGCTGGGACCATAGTCACCAAGAAAACAATTGGTAACACACTACGCCGTGAAGGACTGAAATCCTGCAGCGCCCACAAGGTCCCCCTGCTCAAGAAAGCACATATACATGCCCGTCTGAAGTTTGCCAATGAACATCTGAATGATTCAGAGGACAACTGGGTGAAAGTGTTGCGGTGAGATGAGACCAAAATGGAGCTCTTTGGCATCAACTCAACTCGCCGTGTTTGGAGGAGGAGGAATGCTGCCTATGACCCCAAGAACACCATCCCCACCGTCAAACATGGAGGTGGAAGCATTATGCTTTGGGGGTGTTTTTCTGCTAAGGGGACAGGACAACTTCACCGCATCAAAGGGACGATGGACGGGGCCATGTACCGTCAAATCTTGGGTGAGAACCTCCTTCCCTCAGCCAGGGCATTGAAAATGGGTCGTGGATGGGTATTCCAGTATGACAATGACCCAAAAACACACGGCCAAGGCAACAAAGGAGTGGCTCAAGAAGAAGCACATTAAGGTCCTGAAGTGGCCTAGCCAGTCTCCAGACAATCCCATAGAAAATCTGTGGAGGGAGCTGAAGGTTCGAGTTGCCAAACGTCAGCCTCGAAACCTTAATGACTTTGAGAAGATCTGCAAAGAGGAGTTGGACAAAATCCCTCCTGAGGTGTGTGCAAACCTGGTGGCCAACTACAAGAAACGTCTGACCTCTGTGATTGCCAACAAGGGTTTTGCCACCAAGTATTAATTCATGTTTTGCAGAGAGGTCAAATACTTATTTCCCTCATTAAAATGCAAATCAATTTATAACATTTTTGACGTGTTTTTTCTGGATTTTTTGTTATTCTGTCTCTCACTGTTCAAATAAACCTACCATTAAAATTATAGACTGATCATTTCTTTGTCAGTGGGCAAACGTACAAAATCAGCAGGGGATCAAATACTTTTTTCCCTCACTGTATGGGTGACTGCTTAGTCCCACCCTTGTGTAGTGGGTTCACGGGACAGAGACGGTAGAGTAGAGGCAGTACTGTTTATTCAAGCTTATCAAGGGTTACACTGGAAGGGGTAACGGCCCCTTCACCCGTATTCATGCTGAGACACCCCCTAGACTATCTAGCCTAATTCCTGTGCTCCCAGGCGCTAGAGGAGGCTCTCTGATCTGGCCCTGGTCAAGCACAGATCACGGCACCCCACCAACCAGACCGACCCTTAAAAGGGCTCTGGCTCTGGGGCCGCACCACTGGCTTACCCTGCCGGCCCTCAAAAGGACAGCGGTAAGGGAAGTCCCAGGGTCTATCTAGCTGGCCTTCCTTCTTCACTGGTTCTTCATTCTTGGCCCCAACACACTGCCCCGAACTCTCTGGCTCCCCGCCGTTTATACCCATACACCACTGAGGGTGGGGCTATAGTGGATGTGGTTGTAGCCACCATGGTGTGATTGTGTGTTATCTTCCCACAACACCCCTACATCAGTGCCGCCTATGGACGCGTTCTTAAAACATCTACATAATGTTGTGCACGGGCTGGACACGTGCACATTGTACTATGGCCTGGCAGTGTCCCACAGTATTGACAGAGATATATTACCTGGGTCACTACGAGGCTGTGAAAAGTCTTCTCTGGCCAGCCACCCATTCCATTCTTGTAACTTCAAGAATGGATGGGGCTCAACCAAACCCTCATTTCACAGATGAATGTGTATACAGACCTTTGCCTCCCAACTATTGGAGAATTAGTCAATCACACCAGTCAATGCACAGCCAAGCACTGGGTTCACATAGCTGTAATGGTTACATTAGAATGTATGATTTAATAATAGTATGTTAATGTACAATTGCATATTAATTACTCATATAATAATGTATCAATTATATGTTATGTTTACAATTTCGATGCTATTATATATGCTTATACATTGTGCACACATGTATATGACATACTGCTCATAGACATAACGCGCACGCATACATTGCACACACACTCGAACATATGGGACACATGCCACACACTACACGAACACACAAGCACGTAGACTTTCATGCAGACAGGCACACATGGAAAAACTTGTCATAAACATGTAGCATTCGCACTCACAGACCCACACAGGACACTCGTACACACACATGCACGCATATATCCACACACACATGAAGCAAACTCATACTCGCGCATTCTCAAGACACTAATCGGCTTGAATTACATTCATACCTTCATGATCTCTACATATATGATGGTGGTGATGATGTGCATTTGTTGGTGTTCTTTGTGCTGGTGTTGATGCTGATGACGATGGTGATGTTGGCTGTTGATGGTGCCCAGGCGGAGATGTCCTACAAGCGGAACCCCAAGCTGCTGTCTCAGCTGCAGGTCTGCGAGGAGATGAAAATCCCCTTCGTCTGCATCGTCGGCCATGCCGAGTTGGAGGCTGGGGTCGTGAAACTCCGCACTGTGCTCACCCGCAATGAGGTCACCTCTTCATTCCTCCTCCTCACCACTCCATCTCTTACAGAATAAACTTAATGTATCCATTAGTCAGTTAAAGCGCTCGAGTTACTGTACAGAATAAGGGCTCTTTCTGACCAGACAAAACTGTCTAAACTTTTCAGGTCACATTGATTCATTGTCATTTCTGATGCTGTTATCATCGTTATGTGTATAATTATAATGGTGCTGTCATTGGTTATAACATTTGTTGCGTCTATTTTGTTTATTTAATGTAACGTTTGTAAACTTTTTCCCTTTTCAGGATTCCATTCCACGGGACCAACTGATTGAGGAAATTCGAAAACGCACATGGTGTTCACCATCGCCACAATAATCTTCACCACCACCATCTAAACTACCATCATCATCATTACAATCACCATCATCACCCCCACTATTAACTTCGCAACCACCATCATTGCCATCACCTTCACCATTGCTACCATCTTCTGTAACGTGCTTGTGGTGGCCATGTAAGATGTTTCTGTGTCCTGCCATGTGCAGCGATGAGGGGTGACGAGAAATAAAAAGGCAGCCTAACCCGAAGACCAGCTGCAGCATCATCTTGCCTGAGAGAGCGGATGTGTGTATGCGTATTGTGGGAAGTGGTAGTGTAGTGGTTCGCACACTGCGCTGCGAACCTGGCGACCTGAGTGACTCCCAGCCAACATCAGTAACGATTATCTGAACTGCTCCTGGGGCCTCCCTTACGTTGACTCAACCTCAAATGAGTACCTGGTTTAATGTGTAAACATCCCCACTATGGAGACGAAGGCGGCCAGGCATGGTGCTGGCCACCCACGTCCTCGTGTGCCGTGCCGGCCTTCATAGGTCCTCGCTTAACAGCACTTGCCCCAAGTCTGTTAAGGCTGCGTACTGTAGTTGTGTATAATAAAGGGTATGTATGTGTGAGTGTTGTATGACAGTGTGTGTGGTTACATAGGCATGTATGTTTAACATGTTCACTGTTTATGTAAGCAAGTGTATGTTGAGGGTGTGTGTCAAGTGTTGTGTCCAGTAAACGATGTGAGTGCATCGTCAATTGTATGTGGGCATGCGCAGTCTCTGTGCATAAAAATGTGTTCGTGCATATGAGTGTGTGTGTGTATGTGGAGTCGCGTGTGTATGCTAAGTATGTGTGTGCATTTAAGAGAGACTGTGGGTGTAGTGTGTTTGCCCTGTAGACTAAAGTCAACACTGCCCCATATTTCCACTCCGCTGGCAGAATGTTAAAATTATCAACGTGCACACACGCAGTGTATATACCCTTACTCGCATACACGTTACTTGAATCTGTTGAATTGATTAAAATTACTTCAAATCATACGCAATTATATATTTGCATATGTATGCATCCAAACACAGGTACCCGTATCGGCATATAATGCATTGCGTTGTGCAATGCATTATATGCCGATACACAAATCAGACTGTGGTGTTCCAGCGGTTTCTAATATGAACAACTTAAAATATGATCTTCATTAGACAATTCACGTTGAAAGAATCATTTCAACAAAAACTATTTAAAGAAAAGCATTTACATTAGAAAAATAATTTCCCATCTCCAGCAGCTTGGCGGCGCCCCAACGCCCCTAGTGGACGAACCCCGCCTGCTCAACACTATCATTGACGGTGTTACTCCTTGGACCAAGCAACACAGCACGTACAAAACTTAACACATGGTTGATTGCGTACGATCTATATATATACACACACTATCTCTCCAGGTATATCTGTGCATGCAAATTAAAATCCTGCTCATGGATCTAAATCTATAATCTCTTTGGGGTCAGTAAAATAAGTTCAACTTTATAGCAGGAAAATATTTATCTAGAAAAGCATCATTGAGCCTCAAGATGTATTTTCAGGATCGTTCTGCATGAGGATGTTTGGCAAGGTCTGTTTGCGAGTGTTTTTGCTTACGGGAGGAGTCTGGCATACTTGGGTAAAATCCACCAGGAATGCATGGCGGTAACTTAAAGCTCCCCACGTTTCGACAAGAATCAAGTCTGGATCATTTGAGGTGAGGAATTTTAGGAGGCCATCGAAGAGAACGTTGCAGTAGTCGAGTTGAGACGGGAAAAGTAAGTGCCAGATATTGGAGGCATTATACTAATGGAGGTATGAAGTCCTGAATAGTTCAGATATGTTGAAAGAGAATGGGAGCTCTGAATGAATAATTCCAAGTTTAACACGTAGGCTTTTACAACCAATATAATCGATATGATCTTTTTTAGGATATATCGTATAAACCAACCGGTAATGGGCATCCTTTGTAATGTCTATGCATACATTACTCCCCCCCCCCCCCCCTATGGCCTTCACACCTGATTGGCTCACAAGTGATGACATCACATTTATCCCTCGATTTAAGAACGAAACGGGAGGATTTCTCCACAAATATGGCTATCGCCTGATGATGCTAGTTGTAATTACTGGTGAAACGTCGTACTCGAAATGTAAATGTGGGCTTAATCTTCAACACACCGGTGTGCTGTGCTTGTAACGAATTGCCATGTTTTGTTTACGTGACAACCCTTACTAATTGGCTGTCGGGTGGTGGCGAGTTAAACGACACTTTTATATTTACGTGATCTAACCCAAAAATCCCTTATGGATAATACTTCCAAGTTTACACACTGCCAGTGTAATAGAGTTTAGGAAGTGTACATCCCAACTGGAGACTTAGAAGCAAGCAGACATCGTTGATCTGGCCTTCATTTTTGGCAATATTTAACCAGAGAAAGAACAAATCCAAAATGAGACCACGTCGAGGCACGATTTGAGTGGACTGTTTGGGTTTGTGAAAATGTAGGCCCGAGTATCACCGGATTAAAAGTGTGATGGCTGACATTACATATGGAGATGTTTGTATCAATTCGGAGGAGCTATGAGAATAGCAAAAAGGTCAAGAATGGAAGTGTGACCCCATAGCACTGGGGTTTTGAACATTTCTCGCACCGTAGCAGTGTTAAAGAAATCAGTTTCCAATCTAGATTTAAAAAAGTGCATAGCACCAGTGTATTCCTAATATCAGAAGAGCAGATCAGAGAGCTGCAGAAGCACATCTGAAAGTTTGTGATTCAGTGACCGTCTTTGTTTCAGTTTCTTTTGGTCATGCCCTGTGAGCCATTCGGCTCTTGAATCGGGTGCAACCGCAACAAACAAAAAACATGACCAAGAAAACATCTTAAAGTGACTATGTCACTGTGCAAACAGAAAATACAGGAAAAAAACAGCAAAATATTCCAGAAAATGTTTGATGGCTCGCCAAAAGTCGCGAGGATGACCAGAGTTCGCATGATGGGTTATGCTCCTTGATGAGATCAGCAAGGTACTGTGGTTCATTTGTGGCAAGCACTTTGTGTGTGATGAGTACAACCTTATTATGTATGCGTTTGGCAACCGGAAGCCAATGCAGCTCGGCAAGCACTGGAACGGACATGGTCAGATCCTGCAGTACCCATAACGACACGTGCCAGAGAATTGTATACACGCTGCACGTTGGCAATGCTTTTGCCAGATGCCCTGTAGAGTAGTGAGTTGCAATATGTGAGTCTTATAGATACTATGCTAATGGTTAAATGTATAGTAGAGCCCTGATTTGAAAATAGCAGGACCTGACTAGATTTTGAATGACATTCTGGAGGTGTATGGTCCTGGGGTTATTTAGATGAGTATACAACTGAATCCTGGAGTGTGCAACCACCACAGCTGATCCACAATTTTTTTCATCTGAGCCTAAGTGTCAACCAGCAGAACCTCCATTTTTTCTCGATTAAGCAGCATTTCGTTTCGTGCTAAGCACACGTATATCGCTAACGTCCAATCTTCGAGGTTACCGAGGCTTTCCATATCTAACTTTGACTTCACTGTGGTGTACAATTGTGTATCATCAGCATATTGGTGGAACTTGATGTCATCCAAGGGAACCAGACAAGAAGTGTGCTGGAGATGCTCAAAGAAGATGGTGTGGCTGATGGTGTTGGAAGCAATGGAGAAGTCTTGGAGCAAGATGATCCAGGGTCGAAAGAGAGGATCAATTACTACACGTACACGAGTAGTGTGGGTAGAATGGCCTTGGCAGACAGCAGTGTACGAAGTTGTGAAGACTGAAGGGAGATGTGCTTTGAGAGTTGGGAGAAAACCCTTTGACTTTTTCTAAGAAAGGGAATTTTGAGATAGCGGAATTTTGCATGGCTGTTTCGGTCCAGGGTTGGTTTTTCAAGGTGGCAAATGAGAGCAGCAGTCTTGAGAGATAATGAGACAATACCAGATGAGAGAGAGATATTGCATAAGCTGGTAAATTAGGGTACCAGGGTGGACTGGCAGTGACGGATGAGTTTGGTGAGCAGAGAATTGAAGATGTCATTTGATGTCATTTATAGTTACAGGCTGGGAAATGTCAAGGGTAGGTGGTGAATAGCTAGGACATGCAACAGCAGAAGCAGTCAGATACCAGAATGTTTTTCGTAATTTTCTAGACTGTATAACGGGTAGAGGAGGCGAGTTTGCACTTGGCAATGGATGGGGTAATGGAGGAAGACAAGTTCTGAAAATTCTGGGGCAATGTATGATTTACCAAATGGTTTCCTGCACCATATGCGGTCAGTGGAGAGGAGACATCTGATTTGGACTTTACCAGAACTGAGATTTGCACACCACACATTCAAACAATCACACATACATTCACACACCCCCACACACATTTACACACGTAGATGTACAGACAGGCCCTAGCATTCACACACATGCAGCCATTCATTCACTAACCCGGGTTCATATAGTCGCACACGCCACACATTCTCACACGCAGCTGTGGATCGTGCAGCCTGTGTCTCACATCCAGAAATGTTGAAGGTCCCGTGAAGAGAACCCAGTCCAGGACTAGAATAAAAACCTCTCCTTCAGCACAACCCCGATCAGAACATAGATCATAGCTTGCATCAAAACCCAGGTCAGATTCTGGACCAGGCTTGGTGGAGGAATCCAGACCAGAACGTTCAGTCGAAGAATTCGACACAGATTTTTGGTCAGAACTCGTAGAGAAATCAGAGCCGAGTGGAACAAATCCTGACCAGCGTGATGTTGCTGCTCCTGCTGCTGCTTGCGAGGACCGGCAAGTATCCCCCTCACAACTCATCACAATACCACACAACATCGTCACATCACCCAATGTCATCTTTTCACACTTCATCACACCTCTCCCAAAACACCTTGTCACGCTACACCTTAGACGTCACATCACACATCATAACACGTCTTACACCACACCTCGTCACATCACACATGGTCACAACAATTCGCATCGTTATCTCTCGTCATATACTTGCACTTCAGCACATGAACTCGTTAAAGCACATTGTATTACCCATGTATACCTTGTCATAGCATCACGTGACAATCTCATCGTAAACTCGTTATATCATCACTATTCAACCCAACATCACACTTTCTGACATCATCAAACCTCGTAACATCACATCGTGTTACATTAATCACTGCAGTAACATAGCTATGTGTATGCAACACATTCACACACGTGAATTTATTTAGTTCATTATTCATCCAAGGTCGAAATAATAATGCTTTGGATGCACTTTGTGGGAGTTCTACAGTGCTTGTCCATGGACATAGTGATCCTCGCCATGGGAATGTGGAGTTTCCACCACTGACTGAGGACCACCCAAATGAAATTAATGCCGCCTCACTGCTAGTTTAATCAGGGTAGACCGTCCACCTGTATGTGTCAAATAACTAATATTTATGCAAAAAGACTGTACCGAGGAGACATCATGAGAGAATGAGCCGCTTGATAGACATTACAAGCCCAGCATTGCAGTGTGTACAGCAGCTTGATCTCCGTTTGTTTGTGCCGTGTATTTGTAGGGGTGGGAGCGACAATTCCCACAAAACAAGGATTAAGTGCCGGAGTGGGCAAAGCAGAAGTAACCACAAACGTTCCAGAAATTCCAGGAATCCTGCAAAACCCTGAAAACCCGGACCCAGCGGAGGGAGTGAGAAGTCTGGAAACACCCGCGGGAACTGTGGGAACGATTGGAAAATCAGAGGTGACGGCAAGCCTCGGGGGAAAAGATAGAGCCGTGGAAATTGTGTTTAAAGTGTCTGAAAAACCTCAAAAACTGGACGGAGCCACGAGGTTCCAAGAAAAAGTTGGAAAAGTTGCAGCTGCAAAGGAGCCTCAGGAAAAAGAAGGACAAGCGGGATTGAAATCTGAGATCGCATCCAAAATTGTGAAACCGGTAACAGTGGTGGTGATGAAAAAGCTGCAGAAACCTGGAGCAGTGGGTATCTTGAAAAAAACCACGGAAGAGGGAGACAAAGCCCAGAAAGGCGGTAAGTTGGAAAACTTTGGAAATCCAGGGAGCACTGGGGATTTAGGAACGCAAGAACCCTTGAAATCAGCTGAAATTCGTGATGCAAAGCCAGGAATTGTTGAGAAATCGGGAGTGATTGGGAAAGCAAATGTGTTAGGGGCAGGTGGGCCAGGTAAATTTAGAACAGCGGCATCAGGAATTCTCGGGAAAGTTAGAATTCCTCAAGCAACGACGATTACACAAGTTAATGGAACAATTCCGAACAAGAAGGGCATTCCAGAAATGTACGCAAAAGTGGGGCTGCTTCCCGAAGTTAAAGCCAATCGGTCAGGAAATCCCGTGGGATCTGCACTCCCGGGGAAGCCTGAGAAGAAACCTGATGAGTCCGAAAAAGCTGGTGTCTCTGCAAAGGATGCTCATGCAGCGACTGTGGGGAAAAACGGGACGTGGCTCCGAAAAACCGTGGCAAAGAACGGGACGAAGGTGCAAGGCAGTGTGCGAATAAACGGGACGAAGCCGGCGCAAGGCATCGTGGGGACCGCTACAAAACGGCCTGTGAGTGTAAGTGGATGTCTATGCTCCATCTTTGGGGAATTTCCTATATAAACTTAGCCTAAAATGAGTGCCTGGTGCGTAGGGTCCAGGTTACATGGTGTTGCGTGTACTACGTAGGGAACCAGTGTTGTAGAAGTTTACTCGTGGTTCACTACAACACACCAAGGTCACTTCTCGGCTATGCACCTCAAAAGGTCTACTTGTCTACTTGATCTGAAAAAACAATTACAGTGCGGGGCGTGTCACGAAGTGCTCAACCCATCTCTCCTTGCGCCTTACCATCGTTAATAGGCACTCGCTAACAACACTTTGCTTTGGATCTAGCAATGCGTGTTATCTGTAGGAATGTTAATCAACTGCACGTCATTTTAGACACATCCATTAATGCCCCCCCCCCCCCACCAATGGGTGAAAATTAGCGTCTACTTAAAATGTATACTATCTCGCATCTGCTCCACTCTGAGGTGAAGCAGGTTTTGTTGGCTCAGGAGCTTAGTGATAGTGAAATGGTTCTGCAGATAGGTCCATCAGGGGACTCCTCAACATACGCAGAGTGCCAGGCTGTGGATGCTCAGCTAGTGCAGACATGAGCTATTTATTTCAGCCTGAAACTGATAACATGTGCGTCTGACCTACGAGATCTAGTGTAAATATATAAATTTGTTGCTCATTTTGTTTGCACATTCCCGTCCTGCAATGCCACCACTGCCAACGTTCTTGGGCTGTGGTCGTCCTAGTAAGAGCTGTTTGGTTCGATGGACCTTACCAGCAGAAATAAAGTCTGAGACGGAGTTCGGTCTATCAGCCTTGACACCGTCACCCGAGTCCGTGTTGGCCCGTCGTCCACTGACTTTTCATTCCACGTGATGCTCGAGTGACACGAACCAGGTACAAGGTTGGTCACGGCCGGCGGTGTGCTCGTGTGTTTACGAAAGCCCGTGACGGTTAAGTGGATGAGAACCCGCGGTGGGTCGCGGTCGTTTCCGGAAGCCGACGACGATTGCCGTTTGACGAGAGAGCCTCGTGGGCTGTGGCGGGCGCGGGTTTTTTTTTTTCTTCCGTGCGTGGCCTCACCGCTGCCCGCAGGCGGTGTTGGCGCGCCGCGTCGGCGGGGTCCTCGCGCCGGTGCGCGCCGTGGAGGAGCTGCCGGCCGGGACGCGTCTCCTCGTGCTGCGCTGCCACGCCGAGTACGTCGCCTGGAGATACCCGGCGCATCTCCACGATCTCCCCGACGCACTCAGGTGCTTCCTCTCAACCGCCCCCCCCCCAACTCCACACCCGGCCCCTACGCCTCTCCTCCATCGCGGCACATTCCTCCACAAGAAGAGCCTCTCACTCCACTCCGACGACTAACTACCACCAACACTTGGGTCTGTCCCGTGATCCCCCGTCAGCAGCTGTCACTGCACTCCATCATTAACGGCTGGCCGCTTCTGTCCTGTCAGAATCCATCACCTCATCAAAAGCTCTCACTCCATCACGGTGTCTCTCGGCTCTCAACATCTCACGTGTGTTTATTGTGGGATGTGTTTACCTTTTTCCTGTGCAGTACTTTCCACTCCTATCGTGTTTTTTTAATCGTTCGTTGTAAAGATCTGACCCGCCCCTCCTGGACATGCGATAAAGAGCTTTATAGCTTATCAGATTCCTCCAGTATAAATAAATATTCTGATTTTGAATATGAATACTTGTACAGGATGCGTCTTCGTATATGTATGTGCGAGTTTGTGTGTGTGTTTCTATTGTTGTAGGTGCATGCCAATGTGTGAATGAGTCTTGGGAGCAGTGATGCAATGAATGGCGCACTGCGCTAAAAAGCAGACAACTTGAGTTTCCTGACCACGGCTAACATCGGTGGCAAATATTGGAACAGGTCCTTGGCTTTCCCTAGGTCAATTCATCCTTTAATGAGAATAGCTGCTGCTGCTGCACATATTGCCACTTCCAAGACAAAGGCGACCGGACGTGGTTCAGAGCGCACCACTCCCTCAAGTGACTTCTTGTTTTGTAATGTGTTTGCTTATTTTTGTCTACTGCCTCCTTGGATTGGTTAAAACGAACTTGGCATTAAATTATAACATGTTTTTATAATTGCTGTTTTTCCTATCTTGCCATATGAAAGACAAAAAAACACTGTATTCGTGTGGCAATGACAGCATATTACCCTCGTAATCAAGTCGGTTGAAGCCTTTGCTCGCTGTATGGAGGGCGAATTACTTGGTTCACTATTTAAGGCCATCGTACATTTACACGGTGAGTCTGGAGCATTACACTTGAAGCCTTTTGGTTGACCCCACACACTGCGAGTGAAAACAATTAACTGTCAGGCCAGAGTTCTTCGGGACCTAAATTCGAGACTAGTGGCTGTCGATGTTTCGTAAGCGGATGTGCGGGCCGAACGTCGGGGTTTTTTTTTTTGGTAAACCTTCTGAGCCATAACTCGAATTTACATCAGTATCCAGTAAACATGGAACGTTGGGCTGTTGATCCATCAATGTTACTGGGTATGTGTGTATTAAACGTGCGTGTGTGTGGGGTAGTTGGTGCAGCAAGGGGCACAGATGGTGCATCGGCCAGTCATCTCAGTCAATCGACCCGTGGGACCTGGGTCTGCCCAGTGATCTCCTGCTGTCGGGCGTTCGACACTTCACGTGGCCTCAACGTGCACATAGCCTGGCACAAGCGTCGTGGTGACGTCACCACCACTTAGTGTTGTTGTTGGCATAGGATTGTGGGGAGCGGTGGCGGAAGCAGTTAGCGCTACGAACCCAGCGACCCAAGTTCGATCACCGCTCACGGCCACCAACACTGGTGACGCTTATCTGAACCGGTCATGGGTCTCCCCAAGGTCGACTCAGCCTCAAATGAGTACTTGGTGCGGTGCGTAAACATTGCCACTGGCGGAGACAAAGGCGGCCGGGCGTGGTTACTGGCCACCCAGTCACTTGCCCCAACAGTCTGTTACAGGCGACATGGGGTGTTTCCTTTGTCCTGTCTCTGTAGGATTACGTCTGGTCCCGGCTACAGCGAGCTCACACTGCACAACAGCTCCTCCGCAGACACAGGCGCCTTCAGTTGCCGAGGCAATAGCAGCAGCATCAACGGCACGCGCATCGCCACGGCAACCACGTACATCTACTTCACAGGTACGAACACGTGGCAACAGAGAAACGTTTAGCAGAAATTGTTTTTTTATACGTTATATTTTAAATCCAGATTTGAAGTTTTCGTGACTGCAGGGGATCCATACTCTTTGGTTCTTTCGGTAAAGTCACGGAAGGTAGAAAATAAAATAAATTAAATCACGACGTTTCGGGCGCAACACAAGCGTCCGTCATCAGGTGGGACAACCACAGCAATTTTTTTTTAAATCGTTATTTAGAACTCTTCCATCCCGCGTGACAATCCAGACCCGTCTATGAATCACACCTGCACTGGGGGGTCACTCCACAACCCTGGCAATTGGCAAGCGTCGACAACTCGTTCCATATTTCTCTGACAAGGCTAAAGGGAATCAGGAATGGCTCTCTGGGTTGCCGATCACCGCCTCTCCTCCTTCACCGCCTCTCCTCAGCATTCCATCGGCAGTCGTCATCCAAAACGAAGCCAACTACCATTATCTCAAACCCGAAACGACTTATTCCATTGTTGATACTCTGCTTATCAAACCCACTGCCCGTACCAACTCTAGTCCCGTACGTGATCTCATCTAGATTTCAGGATTTATTGGCCTCACGTCTTATGATGTTAGGATTTTAAGTCAATCGGGCTAATCGAATAATTTTCCCGTTTCTAAATATTTCCTCTGTTGGTGGTCGTGGTTGTGATGATGATAATGATAATATTGTTCGGGACAGTGGTTGTGATGATGATGATGCTTATAGTAATACTCGGGTGCGGTGTGTAAAAACATCGCCAGCCACTGGGGAGACAAAGGCGGCCGGGCGTGGTTACTGGCCACTACCCACCCCGTTGTGTACCGGCATTCACACGTGCTCACTAACAGCACTTGCCCCTACAGTCTCTTGAAGCTATGCGGCAGGATGGTTCGCTGCGCTCCGAACCCAACGAGCCGAGTTCGATTCATGCTCACGGCCAACATCAGTGACCATTCTCTGAACCAGTCATGGACCTCCCATGACTGAGAAATCGATACATTCATAATAGTTTTTTTGTTATAATTCATGAAATAAAAACAATGCTATATTGAGCACCCATCAACGTACGGGTCAGATACGTTCCTGAAAAGTTGTCCGTAAAACTAAAATATATATCGTGACTTTACCGAAAGAACCAAAGAGTAATTCCTGCAGTCACGAAAGCTTCGAATCTAGTTTAAATATCTATCATGTAGAGTATATCGAATCGTGTTTTCACATTGACTTATATTATTCAATGCGTACCTGGTGCGGTGTGTAAACACGCCGTGCCAACCACTTTCGTAGTTGCTACATCGTTAACAGCGCTTGCCCCCAGTCTGTAAAGGCTCTACGGAGGTGATCTTTGTTGATGACGGCCTTTGTTGTCAATGTCTCTAGACCCTTCCACGCTGCTCGTGAGTCGCGGGGAGCCGTTCGGCCTGGTGGTGGCGCGGGGTCCCCGCCCGGCCGTGGTGCCGTGCCGCGCCACCAACCCCCGCGCACACGTGCAGCTCGAGCGCGCGAGCCATGCGGGGAGCGCGCCTCCCAGTGCGCAACTCACTTACACACGAATACACACTTACTTACACTTATATACACTTACTCACACACACTTACACTTATATACACTTACACACACTCACACTTATATACACTCATACTCACACACTCACTCACATACACTCATATACACTCTTACACTCATATACACTCACTCACACTCATATACACTCACACTCAATTACACTCACACTCATATACACTCACACTCACACACACGCATATACACACTTATACACACTCATATACACACACTTACACACACTCACACTCACTCATACACACTTATACTCACACACTTATACAAAGATCCCCCATATAGCCTTAACAGACTGTAGGGGAAAGTGCTGTTAGCGAGGACCTATGAAGGCCGAAACGGTACACGAGGGGGTGGGTGTCCAGCACCACGCCTGGCCGCCTTTGTCTCCCCAGTGGCAATGTTTACACACCGCACCAGGTACTCATTTGAGGCTGAGTCGACCTAGGGAAGGCCCAGGACCTGTTCAGATAATCGTCACTGGTGTTGGCCGTGAGCGGGAATCGAACCCGGGTCGCCAGGTTCGTAGCGCAGCGCGCTAACCGCTACACCACCGCTCCCCACTCATACAACAACAACCGCCATTCGCCACTAAGTGGCGGTGACGTCACCACGACGCTTGTGCCAGGCCATGTGCACCTTGAGGCCACGTGAAGTGTCGAACGCCCGCTGGCAGGTCACGGGGCAGACCCAGGTGCCACGGGTCGACTGACTGAGATGACTGGCTGATGCACCACCTGCGCCCCCTACTGTGCCAACCTGCTGTGTTTTAGCCACCTGACGCTCCACTCGTTGTTGTGAGCGTCGCTCCTCCGCCCTTTGCTGTTGTTGGAGGGCGACTGCCTCCAACTGCCCAGTAGCGTCCTTCACGAGCCTCCTCCAGAGGCCGATCTTGACACCGCTGGTACCAGTCATCGGCAAGTCCACTCAGCTCCATGTCCTCCTGTACCACATCACTCCATCTCTTCTCTAGCCTGTGCCACGCCCGTTTAGCCCCCTCGATCCGGCCGAACAAAAGCTCTTTCGGCATGCGGTGGCTGGGCATGCGGGCTACATGACCCAGCCAACGCAGCCTTGCCTGCCGGAGCTCACCGATGGGACCGTGCCCAGATCTTTAAAGGATTTGTGAGCTCCTCACACAATCCAGCCTGGTTAAACCCAGGATGGATCGTAGTCAGGCCAGCCTAAATGTTTCTAACCGGTGAAGATGTTCCATTAGGGGGGTCCACGTTTCGCAAGCGTAGAGAAGGGAGGGAATGACCGTGGCCGAGAAGACCTGAAGCTTAGTGCGGAGCGACAGACCAGGTAGCTTCCACACAGCGTTACGCAACCGATGAAAAGATATTGCCACTCGACTGATTCGGAGTGAGACCTCTGCTGTTAAACTGGAGCCGGTCATAAGCACACTGCCCAGGTATGGGAAACTCTCCACAACTGCCCCATCACCGATTGGGAGTTGTGGAGGTGGAGTGTCTGATGGTACAAAATACCCAGGCAGGTGCTTAGTTTTGGTGGGGCTGATGGTAAGGCCCCATCTCTTAGTAGCACGCTCCAGTCTCAGCAGCAGCGCCTCCAACTCCTCCTCTGAATGAACCGCAATTACCAGGTCGTCGGCATACATAACGTGGTTGACCAATAGGGAGCCATCCCTTGACCGCACCTGGGCACCGATCAGTCTCCCATTGTATCTGTACCAGATGGAAATTCCTCCGGTACAGCTACTGAAGGCTTCACGAACTACGTAGTCGAAATAGATGTTAATTAATGTTGGAGCCAGAGGACATCCCTGTCGCACCCCAAGGTGTACAGGGAATGGCTCTGACTCCCGACCACGTAGTTTTATCCGGGCCTGCTCACCATCATCAAGGTCCTTAATGAGCGTGAGCAGGGGGTCAGGGACTCCGAAAGCATGAACAACAAACCAGAGCCCAGGCCTACTGATGGTATCATAGGCCTTGACCAGGTCAATGAAGCAGAGATGTAGGTCTTGTTGGAATTCCCTACACCTCTGCTGTAGCAGACGGACAGAAAATATGGCATCTGTGCAGAACCGCCCTATCCTGAAACTGCATTTGGGGCTCCGCAAGCCTCTCCTCAGCGTGCCTGACAAGGCGATGTTGAATAATCCTTGCCAGGACCTTTCCCGGCACAGAGGAGTGAGATGCCCCTGTAGTTGTTACAGTCTGTGCGGTCTCCCTTCTTAAAGAGGGGGACTACCAGGGCATCCTTCCAATCCTGCGGAACCCGTCCAGTGGCCCAGGACAGGTTCAGATAATCGTCACTGGTGTTGGCCGTGATCGGGAATCGAACCTGGGTCTCCAGGTTCACAGCGCAGCGCGCTAACCGCTACACTATCGCTCTCCACACTCATACACACACTCACACTTATACACGCTCGTACACACACTCATATACACACACACACTCATACAACAACCGCCATTCGCCACTAAGTGGCGGTGACATCACCACGACGCTTGTGCCAGGCTATGTGCACCTTGAGGCCACGTGAAGTGTCGAACGCCCGCCGGCAGGTCACAGGACAGACCCAGGTGCCACGGGTCGACTGACTGAGATGACTGGCCGATGCATCACCTGTGCCAACTCATACACACACTCGCACACACACTCATACACACTTAACCCATGCACTCCTCCTCGTCTCTGCTGCCCCCTAGACGTGACATATGATCCCCGCGTGGGGTTCCTGCTGGAGCTCCCTCCACCCGAGGCCGCGGGGCTGCTGCGCTGCGTCGCGACGCTGGGCGGTGTGCGCCAATCGTCCGTCCCATACCTGCTCGTCTACGTGGACTGTGAGCTCCCGTGTCCCCTTCCCGCACATATCACACGCGCGTGCTTACTGAACTCGGCATCATTATCAGAAGATTAAATTCAGACCTCTCACAGAGCAGTGTCTCCCCGTTACAGAACAGTCTGTTGAAGATTATATCACTGAACTGCTTCCGAGGGCCTTTCAAGTGACATACTTTATCCACCCACGAGGGGACGATGCCCTTTTCGACATGTCCTGCAAAATAGTGAGATGTTAGTCGCAACCCAGTAAACGTTGAATGCTGAACCAATGTTGGGCCAACGTTGCATTTTTACTGGAATGTCAGTCAAACCAATGTTATGAATATTCAGTTGGACTTTAGCGTAATAATGTGATGTGTTTTGTACAATCATTCGTGATCGGGCTGAGATCTGCACCTCGCTACATATGAGAATACAGTGATTACACTGTATTCTCAATCCAGGACCTCAGTGAGGCCGTCTCAGTTTTTTATGCCTGACCCACCCAGGCCGAATTGCACTCACCGTGTCTCTCCCCCAACATCTTTCTCCCATTCCTTTCCATCCATGTTTCTCCCCTCATCACCCAACATGTCTCTTTGCCTGTGTCTCTCCCAGTCTCTCTCCTCGTGCTCCTTCCCCCTCTATCTGAAATGTAGCTAAGAGAGCCTCACCGAGTCTCAAGACTCCTCTTCAAAAAAAATCTTCAATTGGGATGCTTAGCCCATTTCATTAATGTATGGCATGTGGGAGTAAACATGACCAAGAAGAAAGCCACACACAATAGGGGATAACGCTCCATGTGTGTTCACTTGTGGCGACACACACACATCTGTGTATTGCTGCGTGGGCCAGCCCCTTCTGAGGCCCCGGTGGCTGCACTGGTTGCATCGACATCGGCCGCCAGTCTCCATGATGATGTTACCCTGGTCTGCGAAGTCAAGGGACAGGCTGGGGTCACGGCCGATGTCTCCTGGAAATTCCCTGGGCAACAGGTAACCATGGCAAATGAAGCCTTCACCATCCACACACCTAACAGCTCCATGTTCCTAGGCTGTATTCAAAAACTAGAAGGCCCTTCTATAACTAAACCATGTGGCGCACGTTGTCAATGTTTACGGTGTTTCCCTGAGGTTGACCTCGCCTAAAATAAATACCAGATGTGGCGTGGTCGACATCACGACTGAAGAGACGTTAGCAATACATGGTTTTGACCACATCAGATGTGCACGTAAGACTTTCTCAAGGCGTAAACAGTATTTGGTACAATTTATCCTTTACATTATTTGGAGTTTGTTTGCATGGGTGGGCACCTGTGTATGTGTGGATATGTTGTGCATGGGCACATTGTGGCCGTCCGTGGGATAACGCGTGTGTGTGGGGTGCCAGGCCGGGCGCCCGACTGTGCGCCTCGATTACTTCGAGGACTTCCCCCCTTCGGTGCGGGAGACACGCAGCGTCCTACTCATCCCCCATTTCCTCGCACATGACGCAGGTGCACACCTACACAAAGCAGCACCAACCTAACATATAACTAATTTATTACTGAGCAAAAGTTTCGTCGAGACTTGAGACTTTTTCAAATGAGGGCTCCTGCAATGGAATGTTTGGCCAATTAATTTACAAGAAGTTTTTTTTCTTGTGGTAGAAAGCAGGAGTACCCGGTGAAAGCCAAACCATTCACATGTTGGGGCAGCACTCAAAGATCCATACAAACTGGCTCAAAAACTTGCTTGCTGTACCGACATCTCCTGGTCACCTCCCTGCTGTGATAATTTGAGTTCATTCACTTCACTCTATTTCTCTTTTATTTGATCTCACTTTAGATACCTTTTGTCTGCATTAAATTTCACTGCATCTCACATTAATATCTCAATCTTACGTGTATACAGTACTGAAGGCAAACGAAGCACTACGTCGACCCTGTCGGCTTCACTAATGTCACTTTCCTCAACAGTCTGTAAGGCTATATCATAGGTGGCTCGTTTTTCTTTATCTGTCACAGGCGAGTACCTATGCAGCGCACACAATGCCAAGGGAGCCTCCATAGCAACTGCAAACATCATCCTGTTGCCTGGCAGCCCCGTCAAGGCCGGGTTACGTGACCAGCAGCAGCCCATCAACAGCAGCCTGGAAGTGAAGCGCCTGTACGATCAGGTCAAGAAATCCGAATCACATGATCGCAAGCAGCCAATCATAAACCCAGAGTTGACTGGACAAGAAAATCCGATTGGGGCGTCTATAAAGCCACATGATGATAAGCAGCCCAGAAAATCAGCTCCAACAACAGTCCGGAATAAACTATTTGGGAGTTTTCCGAACCGAAAACAGCCTTTTGGAAAACCAGTCTTGAGCGGGCAGAATAAAACGATTGGAAGATTTCAGAAACCACACGTGCTAAAGCAGCCAATCAAATTGGTTGGATTGGCAACACAAAAATTGGCAATTGCAAGCTTGCGATCAGGCGGCCACAAGCAACCGGTCAAAAATGGGGTGTTGCGACAGAGCGAGGCGACCAAGGACATCAAGTCAAGTGATCAAGAGGAAATTGGATTAGTTGAAACAGGTAGTAATGAGCAAGCACTGTAATTTAGGATTAAGTTATATCGATTTATAACGGATCATTTGTGCAGTGACATTTCTACCCCATGACAACTTTAATACTAGTTTCACATAGTAGTCAATGCAGTTTACCCCTGCTACCACACATGGCAACTTTGAACCAACTTTAATAACCACCAATAAAGCATTCTGTTGGTATATATTTTAGAGTCTTAATGAAATGCTTATACATGGCCTCCTTTAGATTAAAAATATATTGTTAGATTCCCGATACTGTCATGTGGCCTAAATGTTTCACCTTAGCAGCGGTGCTATGTTATGCTCATCGCTTGTTAGTTTGTAATAAAAGTGGGAGATTACTGTATGCACATTTATGGATCACGTACTTTGTACGTTTGTCAGTAGAGATGGGAAAGGAGCAGGAGGTGCTAAGAATTACTGGGTACAAATAGGATTGCCTTCTAGCTCTGGCCATCGGTAAGTACAACATGCCGACTGTCGGGTGAATGAAACCTCGTGTTGAACTGGAAGCAGAATCGCAGAAAAGTTTAATTGACCTTGTAAAAACAAGCGTATTTACTCATTGGTATTTACAGCCCATGGGGCTATACCAGTGGTATTAACCCTTGTTTTTTGCAAGGATGACTAATTAATAAGCGATGCCTGCTGTTGATAAGTCAAGACGGGGATACAAAATTGTAATTGCATTGCAATGAATCACAATCTAATTCAGTTGCAATCAAGTACAGCTGTACTAAAGTTCCGTTTCTGCAATAATTCATATTGTGGTAAATAATAAAACCATAACTGTGTAGGCAACATCATTGGTTGTAAGGTAATAAAATATATTTCTGCCGATTGCCTGTTTCAATTACAAGTCTTTTTGAAAAGCATGTAAAACAATCTGGTTAAAATAATGTAAAAAACTCTGCATTGTCATGTCATTTTTGGGGGGTTGTCACGACGCCAGGATGTAAAACTTTTAAAATACTGTATGCTTTGTAAAAAAAATTCCTTGTAACAAGAAAACTTTTAAATGCCTTAGAAGTCATGTTTTAACTACAAGTATGAAAAAGCTCCATATTTTCACAAAAATCCAAAAACTCTCACACACATTCAATACACGTATATCAAGCATAGACAGGAAATATTTCACAACAAAATGTCCCCTGATTAGTCCGAGAGACTGTAGGGGCAAGGGCTATTAGAGAGCGCTTATGAAGGTCTGTACACAACACACGGGGGTTGTGGCTACTAATTAGGGTATACCAGTGCTGGTGTTCACATGTGCCAGGTGTTTGCTTTAGGGTGAGCTGACCTATGAGACAGTTCAGGTTTACACACAATTTTCCATTGATGTGAACCATGGCTTGGAATGAAACTCCTGGTCTCCAAAATCGCAAAGCAGTAACGTGTGCCAACACTGCCATGATTTGGGGTTGCAATTAAACATAATTTGTCTTTATACTCTTTGGTTCGGTAAAGTCACGCTCTCTCATAGTTGTGTGCTCTGCTAGCCTCAAATGCTACATTAGCACATTTGCATTTATATTATTTTTTCAATTCTCGCATTTATATTGAGCCTAACTCACCGATGGATCCATATACTATTACAAGCTTAGTATACTCGAGCATTCAATCACCACACAGACACAGGATATGAGGTAATGTCATGCCATATATTTGAGCAGCTCCGGTCGTGGATGTCCTGTGCTAGTGTTAAAACCTTAAGGGTAGTTATTATAAAAACGTAAGTAACACTCGTGGCAAGCATAGCAAGACTCAAGCCCACGCGGAGATTAACGGTTTATCACAAGTGGTGCAGTGGTGTCCTTTGAAGGTCATTACATCTGGGTTCTCAGCTTGTGTCACGGTATATGTGGCAAGAATAATATATTGGGAAGTGTTTTCTTCATTTTATAAACCATATAAACAGTATTGCACATATACTAAAAGTGTGTGCACATATTTTAAACCATACATATAGTTATTTTCCCAGCAGAATCAAGCAACAAAAAAAATAGCTTGAAGCATGTGGAAAAACTGCACAATTACTGTTTGTGAAACATAAGGCACATCGAGAATCAAACGATGACAGAAATTCTACACACTGCCAAAAATGTGATGCACATTTTGCAAAGACAGAACAAGACTAAATTAATCAGTCACCCATTTTAAAAGCAGCATATATGGCTAAACGTGTGAAACAGTAATTTTTTTGCCATACATTGCGTTAGTCGGGCCACGACATACAAATATATTATCCTCGTGTTTCTCTCCATAGCTATCGATTATCACCACACTGCATTGCCATGAACTGCTCCATCGTCAATTCCTTAAAAACTCGTCTGAATCGATTCCACTCCCGGCAATAGAATGGCCCTGTACAATACTTTACTTTATTGTGAATTGATATCTGGTATCATTTGTTCGTAAAAACGATTCCCAGTGTTGGGTTATGCACATCATCTGCAAACGTGTATTTTCGATAATTGGATTGATTTATTGCAGTTTTCAATCGAAGAAAAGTTGAAATATGGTTTAATCTTAATTGCCATATTACTAAAGACTATAAACTGTATACTGATGGTATTATTGTATAATTTTGGATGTGACATAAGCAGCACTGTTTAGGTTCTGCAGTGGGAAAACAACCTTTAGGCTCAGGAGGCCCAAGAGTTCCTTGCCAGCCATGCCAGATAAGCTTAGCATGGCCCTGGCATGGTTCTGTTATACAGTGGAAAAGTGGTATAAGATTCCAAGCACTCGTTTTGAGGGCCAGACAGATGACAACCCCAATGCCAATTCTACCCAACTGCCATCGCCAATCTATCCTCACAGGCATGATGGGAGGATTGTGATGAAGGGAAGTAACCTCAAGCAGATGCAGAGACCTGTAGGTACTGCACCACAACAGCAAGTGCCTGGCAGGCACGCAACGCCCCTGACAGTTGCTCCCTAAGAAGAGCAACTTCACTATCTGTCCCCATGCCTAAATTTCGCTTAGAGATTTGAGGATTGGCCCGAGCAAGTCTGGATCCACGTGAGTCTGCCACTGGATGTTTATAAATGCTTGAATTTGGTCTAGAAACTTTACAACTATTTGGATTTGGTCTAGCAATGCTTGTCATGTTAGAGTTTGATCTGGCAGGTTTAGCAATGTCTGAATTTGGCCTCAAATGTTTTGAGCCATTTGACTCAGCAGGTTCAGTAAGTTTAGAAATGCTTGAATCTGGTTTACCAAATTTAGAACCATTCAAGCCATACCTGGTGAACCTACAAATACTTGTGTCAGGCCTAGATGGTTTAGAAATGCTTGAGTTTGTTCTGTCAAGTTTAGAAGTGTTTGCATTTGGTCTGGAAAGTGCAACCCGAGGCATGTTTGACTTAGTTGGCTTGGAAACAATTGAAGATGATTTACTGAGTTTAGAAACATTTAAAACAGGCTTTGTGAGTTTAGAAACGCTTAAGTTGGTCTTATCAAGTTTCAAAGCATTTGAATATAGCCCAGAAAGTCTAACTAAAGGTGTTTTCTGTCCTGTCAACCTTGCAGAAGAATAGTTGGGTCTGGTCTTTTCTGAAACATTCAGATTTGGCCTTGCCAGTTTAGTGGGGTTGGTGCTTGAAGGCTTAGCTAGCCGAGAAACCTTGACCGACAACCGGGCAGGCTCTGGGGTAGCGCTAACCCCTCCATGCCCCCTCCGCACAGAGACCCCTGGTGTCCCCTGTGTAGCCATGCCTTCTCCCTTGGACTCCATGAGCCGCATATTTGGGGTTCTGAGCCCTACAGGGTGAAGTTTTGGCCGCGGATGCCCAGGCCCTGTGGCCCTAAGAGAAGCCAGTCTTCTGGGCCCCACAGCATCGCGCCCAGCCTGAGCAGAGTTGCTGGCCTCAACCCGCTCAGTCTTTGGCATCTGGGATAACTCGGTTCTCTCCTGATGCATCTTAATGCTCACCGGCTTGGTTATACACATACTTGGCTGCATTTGACTCGACCCAATCTCACTAGGTTTCCCAGAATCCTTTCCAGAGGTTGTGGCCACGATCGATTGGGACAAAGCAGCCTTGGACAAGAGCAAGCTTGACTCATCCACTCCGCCCACCTCTGCTTTGCCTGGCAGCTGAGGCCCACGCAAACTGGACTTGGCGAGCTTGGACAGACCTGGTTTTGTGGTAGCCAATGGAGGCCTCGCTAAGTGTGAACTACTTGAGCTGGGTTTTGGTACAGCAGAACTAGAGCCGCCAGGTCCTAGCAACTTCGAGGCATATGAGGGTGGCTTTGCCAGATGCCTCACCTTTCCGTTGGTTCCAATAGATCTAGTGTTGTTTAAATTGGTAGCAGTTGCTTTGGTGTTGTTGAGGTTGGTGCTAGTTGGTCTGGTGCTGTTTAGATTATAACTATGTGGCCTGGTGCTGTTTAGGTTGGTTCCAGTAGATTTGGTGCTGTTCAGGTTGGTTACAGTAGATTTGGTGCTTTTCAGGTCGGTTACAGTAGATTTGGTGCTGTTCAGGTTGGTTCCAGTAGATTTGGTGCTGTTCAGGTTGGTTACAGTAGATTTGGTGCTTTTCAGGTTGGTTCCAGTAGATTTGGTGCTGTTCAGATTGGTTTCAGTAGGTGTGCTGCTATTCAGGTTGGTTCCAGTAGATTTGGTGCTGTTTAGATTGGTTTCAGTAGGCCTGGTGCAATTCAGGTTGGTTCCAATAGATTTGGCGCTGTTCAGGTTGTTCCCAGTATGTATACTGCTGTTGAGGTGGGTTCCAGGTCTGGTGCTGTTGAGGTTGGTTGCTGGAATGGCCACAGACGACCCACGAGATGTAGAAGCTGCCACTGCTGGTGCCCGGAAGCCAAAGCGACTACGAGGCCCAGGGAGAGGAGTGGCTGTGGTGGCTGTAATGCTGGAAATCAGTGGTGTCGACGTACACAGCTCCAGGCCCGAGAAAAACCTGGAACTCTTTGTTGGTGTTACATCCGGAGTCAGCTCTGCTGCTCGTTCAAATGGCAGTGCCAGATCCACCTTGGACCATGCATTACCATCGCACATTAGCTCCTTGAGGGCGCCGTTCTCTCTACTGGGTGGCAAAAGCTCAGAGTCATCCCTGTCAGGACAGCAAAAGTTATTGTCATCATTATGATTTTGGACATTGCAGGCAAGACCGTAGTTACGGCCACTGCTGTGAATGCAGGAACCGTCTTCCTCACACGGGGCTTGATGGGTTTCACAGAGGCTGTTCTCCACTGCAGGAATGTGAGGATTGTGATCTTGTTCACCATTATTACTACCATTATCCTTACAACTACTGTCACAGCTGCTACCAATATTATTGCCTTCAATGATATTGGTATCATTCCCATTTGCTTTTGAATGATCCCTGCCATCCAACACAAGGAGCATTTTGCTTGCCAATTCCTCATACTCATGTTCATCCTTATCATCACCCTTCTTGTCATGTCTTAAATGTTGTGTGGGGCTTGCATCAGTCTCGAAAGGCATCTTTGGTAACTCTGTGCAGTTTTTCAAGCTCTCCTTAGTGGTCGAGCAGTTATCCATTAGGATTAATCTATCACTAGAATTGTTAACATTGTAGCTTTCACTGCCATTGTGACCTTCACTGTCACTGAGAACAGTTGCATGTGCATTTGTTTCACTGGTGACATTGCAGCCCTCAGACCATTCTCCCAGTAAGTTCTTGTTTTCCATCAAACCATTACCCTTGGAGTCACTATCACAAGCATCATCATCGGTGTAATCACTTGCTGTGCTCAGATGATTTGGTTGGAGAGCATCCTTATTTCCTGCGACGTTTGCACATTTGTCAATAAAATCATCACCATTGTCCACACCATCACTGCCTTCACTTCCCTGGTTGACCATTCCATTGTCAATCCCACCCTCATCAGCTATCGACTCCACCATTCCTAAACCATCAATTGATCTAAACTCATTGAGTTTATCAGGGCATTTCCCCACCTGATCCCTCTTTTCACTTTCATCGCCTTCCAAAATTTCAGACACATGCCTAGAATCCCCATTACTCCCCCTCAGCAGCATCATTTCCCGGAATGCAAAGTCTGCATCACATCCAGCGAGCCTTCTCTCCGCCCCACGCCATGGCGACTCATTCACGTTAGGGGTTCCTGTTAAGCTACTCGTAATGGTCAAGTTGTCACTGCACAGCTTTTCCGCCCAAATGCCTGAATACGTGCCGAGGCCTGGCATTGGTGAGTCTACGGAGAGTTCCAACAAACCACTTGGGAATTCCGTGTCAAGCAAAAATGAGGGATCCTTGAAACCGTTTAGAATGTTTACAGCTCGGTGGGGATGGCTGTGGTTCATGGTCTTGACTGAGTCACACAATGGGGTTGTGCCATGTGCTAGTGCCTTTGAGCGTTCATCGTTGTGACGAGTGTCGTTCATCTCCTCGATAATGAACGTCCCATTTAAAGTGGGCCCACAACGCTTTCCCTTTTCACACATTGAACCTCCGCTGGCCACATCTTTTGACATGTCGAACTTGCGGTCAAGGTTGTTGTCAGGGTCATGGTCACCTGGAGCTGTGTCTTTACTCCACCAGGAGTCCTCTTCCTGTTTTCTCGGTCCTGACGCTGCCTGTGGTAGAAACGCAAGTAGACGGTTCACTGGTGCTCAGGTCAGCCACCCTGATGTTTTCAATCTCATTAGCTTATTCATATGAATTCCTGGCCAGTTGCTTGGGCTGTTGTCTAACTGCCATTCTTCATCATCCACTGCTGGATTATTTAACAATACATCATGTGCAACAGTATAAAGTACCTATTTATATTGATGATTTATACTTGAAGTTTGGGTCATAATATCAGTGGTACAATATAGCCTAGGCATACCAATGTTGATGTTGCAAAACCCACGTCAACATTGCAGCAGATGTGTGTTTTGATACAAGGGTAGTTCATTTCGATTTAGCATTTATGATAAACTAACCAAACGTTTGTATTTTAGCAGGTAAGGCCCACTCAACTATATAGCTCTAAACGCATGTTTCTAAATGTGGAGGGAAAAACCGGAGGACCACAGAGAAAAGTCCACGTGCTCACAGGGAGAGAGACATGCAAACTCCAAATATACAGCAGGCGTCAGGGTCAGGACCGAACCCAGGACCTCCTGTATTCCGGGTGAGGAGGTTAGTTAACATCTCGCCACCGTGGCACCCCATCGAATGACAATAGCATAAAAAAACACTACAAAAATATATCAACAGTTTCCCGCACATATCAAAACATGGAAGCCCGTAAAAAGCCAATCTCGGAATAAACGAGCAAAAGAAAGCAAATTTAGAAGCATTTTGCTGAGCATTTAAAGATATCCGTCTCAAGGACAAAATTAGAAACTGACGATGATGATGAAATTTAATGTTTGTCAATGATTGTGACAAAAAATGACGATTGTAATAACGATGAAAACGACGAGAATGCAGCCTTTTCGTAGAATAAACTTTATACTGGCGGCTCAGCAACGATGTGAACAATGAACACCTCCGGTTACCGTACTCACCATCATCGTCTGAGCACCCTCAGCAGCCGGCCTGACACTGGCGTCGTCTTGAATCTGAACACAATGCATGCGGAATAGAATTACGGTACAAGCTAGCCCACATGTTGACTGACTGCACTCCACACAACCGAGTGCAACAGTATAACATTACCGCACCCTTAGAACAATGTTTGTACGTTGCCGGCGAACGACTATAGTTACAAAACGTTGCTGTGACCGAAATTAGTAAAGGATTGCTGTTGTTAGTTACGGACCGTGTTTTATTATGCAATAAACATCAGCATTTCCTGAAGATATATCCTCTTTATCAAGGCAGTTATTGACGAATGCGTAATGGCCTGCAGTGATTCGTAAGAGACTGGCGATCTAAAAATCTTGACTTAAAAAGCTGTCGTCCTGATGACCACCGCTTGTGTTGCGATCGAAACGTCGTAGTTGTTTTGTTATTTTCTTTAAACATATCAACGTGACATGACCGAAAGACCCAAAGAAGTCTGATGATTTGTCAGGGACTCGAGTGATGACCAAAAAGTATTGCAGCGATTAGCCAAGAACTGCAATAATTGTTCTTTCGTAGGGCATTTGCAAACCAACTTACAAGACGTGCTGGACTTTGGGGTCACGAGAACACCGAGAGACGGGCCAAGGACTGCAGCGACTCGTCCTGTGTAGGATCTTTCTTTTGTATGGCGACCGTGGTCATGAGTAAATGTCTCTAATGACTCGTACACGAGTATAGTATTAAGTTATAATCAGTAAACACCGTGTGTGTGTATATCTTAGTGTTTAAACTCACGATGTTGGTGAGAAGAAGTAAATGTCTCTAATGACTCGTACACGACTGTAATTATGAGTTATAATCAGTAAACACCGTGTGTTTGTGTGTATATCTTAGTGGTTAAACTCACGATGTTGGTGAGAAGAAGTGAATGTCTCTAATGACTCGTACACGACTGTAATTATGAGTTATAATCAGTAAACACCGTGTGTTTGTGTGTATATCTTAGTGGTTAAACTCACGATGTTGGTGAGAAGAAGTGAATGTCTCTAATGACTCGTACACGACTGTAATTATGAGTTATAATCAGTAAACACCGTGTGTGTGTGTGTATATCTTAGTGGTTAAACTCACGATGTTGGCGAGGTTGGACGAGGCCCCGGCGCGCGTCCGCCCCGCGACTGATTCAAAAAAAAAATTCGCAACGGAAATCGGTGACGTCACGGCAACGGGGCAGCCAATAGAATCGTCCGGCGTGAGAGCCGCCGCTGATTGGCTGGCACGCGATGGGGGGGGGGAGAGGTGAATAATCGATTAGCAACATTCCGATGCTTAAAGTAATTCCGATGCTTTTTATAACTTAAAAAAATCGACGATCAAACGATACGCAACACTCACGTGGAGGTGGGTGGGACCTTTTTTTGTTTTTGCCAGCATCAAAGTATGTCAAGTAAAAATATAGGTTTTGCCCGTTCTGCCAATGAAACACGTGCTAATATATATTCTTGGTTCTTTCGGTAAAGTCACCACGTAGAAGGGAGACAATAAAATAATACAAATATAAAACGATAAAATTATCACAACGTTTCGACTGCAACACAAGCAATCATCATCAGGTGTGAAACCCACCGCAAATGCTGGCGGCGTTAACAGTGTCAAGCTTGGTCTGACTTTGAAAATAACACATTCCTGCGGAGGGAGCTGGTAGGAACGTTAGGTTGCTCAGTCAATGGCCAGGGTCAACGGTGGCACCACGTGGTGTATTCCGCAAATGTGCCCGACTGTGAGGGCGGGCACAAACCGGAGTGAGTAGGTTAAACGTTGAGTTTTATAAGGGCACCACGGGGTGACCAGCCCCTCCCCACCCAGCCCCACCCCTCCCACCCCCCACCCAGCCCCACCCTCCCCACCCAGCCCCTCCCCACCCTCCCCATCCAGCCCCTCCCCTCCCCACCCTCCCCACCCAGCCCCTCCCCACCCTCCCCATCCAGCCCCTCCCCACCCTCCCCACCCTCCCCATCCAGCCCCTCCCCACCCTCCCCACCCAGCCCCTGCCCACCCTCCCCACCCAGCCCCTCCCCACCCAGCCCCTCCCCACCCTCCCCTCCCCACCCAGCCCCTCCCTCCCAGCCCCCACCCAGCCCCTCCCCACCATCCCCACCCAGCCCCACCCCTCCCATTTTGAATGAACGACGGACGGACACAATAATCCCCTGTGGGCTGGTGGTGTAACTAGGAGGTTCCTACCAGTATAATACAGCCTCTAACCATCCACCATCTCAGCTACTTGATGCGCGTGATGGCTCTAATATCTGAACCTATTATGACGAACATATAATTTGGTGTTACTGCATTGGCAGTGGTGCACAAGCACAAATCACAAAAAAATTACTTATTTCAAATGGAAGATAAATAGACAACAATTTGGACAATGGTACTTCATCATTTACACCAACGACCTACCTACTATAAAGTCACGATTTGTCTATATAGATGACATCTGCATTTCAACCCAAGCCTGTGACTTTGGTAGCCTGGACAATACCCTGAACAGTGACCTGGCCATGATAGCACACTGCCGCAGCAGATGGAGACTCCAGCCAAGCACAAGCAAGACAGTTTGCTGGGTGTTTCACCAGCACAAAGCCAGAGCCACTAACGATTTTAAAGTGCACCTGAACGAGTTGATAAAAACATGACCCAAAGCAAGTTGCTCCTTGGAGTGACGTTGGGCAAGAGTCTCACATACCGTCCACACCTCCAGAAGACAGCCGGCAAAGTTTCGCTCGCGGAACTGTCTGCTGGCCCAGCTGGCAGGCTCGACGTGGGGCGCTGGTGCTCGGTCAATACGTATGGCGGGACTCTCACTGTGCCACTCTGTAGCAAAATACTGTGCACCCGTATGGACTCAATCAGCTCACGCCAAATTGGTGGACACTCAGCTGAATATCACCATGAGAACCATCTCTGGTGCAATCAGGACAGCCCTACTACCGTGGCTACCAGTACTTTGCAACATCCCCCACTCAAATATTTCCACCAAACTGCAGTGGCCAAGATGCTGGACAAAGACAAATGCGACACTGGAGTTGCCCCTTCACGTCGATATCTTCAAGCCTCCACCAATGCGCCCCAAGTCCCGACACCCAGTGTGGGCATTACCACAGCCCGAAGACTTGAGTACGAGAGATACCCGCACAGCCTGGGGCGAGGAATGGCGATTTTGTGGATGTGCCTGTCCAGATGCCTGACTTCGACTTGGCAAGGCACCAGCAGTTTAAAAAAAAACACTTTTGGTGTAACCAGTGGGCGTGTGCCACTTACGAACATTTATGGAGCATACATGCCAGTCTGCTGTGAATGCAGGGAGCAAGAGACCACGGCACACATCGTCTCCGGCTGTGTCAGGGTGTGCCGGGCAGCCTGGTTGCCCTCCACATACTGGAGGAGGCTGTTACGTGGCTTTGTGGCTGTGGGCTGATGTCCGCTCACAGAACATAGGAATGTTTTTTTTTCCCCCCACGTATTTGGTGCTCTGCGCGAAAGTCACATGTAAAAGCATTCGCTGAATTAAACTTCTTCATTGCACATGGGCCAGAGGAATAGTTTTCTAATATACCTTTCACCAGCAGGAAGCCCGTGATCATGTGAACAAACATTTGAATGTTTTCATCAGATATCCATTTACAATAATTGGCAGAGACTGTAAGGAAGACTCCTCTACTGCTGGTCATTTTTTTGTATTGGACGTGTTTGTGGATGTGTGCACGAGAAATGTATTCATTGAAAAACCGTGACGTGGTTTAGTGGTTCATGTAGAAAACACGATAAAAATAGTGCTTTGATTTATTCCTTTTATTTGAAACGTCACTTTTTACATAAACATCTTTATACAATTTCAGAAGCTGTGTGTATTGTGGCAGGGAATAAATGCTCACAACAGCAACTGTGATCTCCTTGGCATAGGTGAAACACCCTGCTTGTTAAATAAAAGGCTGGTGAGCCCCACCGTGATGTCATAAGTAAAGCCTAATGGGAACACAGATTGGAAAATTTTAACTATATTGGTTGTGGATGTTTAAGACTCATGAAAAGCTACACTCAAATTCAGTAACTGCAAATCCCCATCAATGTTAATATTTAAAAACCATAATTGCTATAACACAGTTACAATTATTGAAGCCTAGCTTCGATCCACTGATGGTGAATTCCAGTTTCTGGGAAATGCACCTCAATGATTCTTGCAGAACAAAGCTTCAATGTGTTGATCTTGAAAATCATTCTCCTGGAGCAGAGACCCGAGAGACTATTGAGAGGACGGGCTACCCGAGCTGCGACAGATCAGGGCCTCCACCCTGGTAGTTTCCACTTATTTCTGCTCCGCTGAAGTCAAATCCTGGGTTCTGTTGCAATAACACACGCACAGGAGCACACAGACAAACACAGACATAGGCATACATGGACACCCAAAGGAACACAGATACACGGATGCCCACACGCATTCATGGCCACAGACACATGGGCAGATATAAACGAGCACAAAGACACAAGTGTACACAGATGCATACGTGGGCACACAGAAGCATACATAAGCATACAATATGGTGGAAGGAAGCAACAAAAAAAACAATATTGAGTTTTAAGCTCGCATACCATATACATATAAATAACAATAACTATTTATGTTTTTTGATTGATATAATAGGTTCACGTGATCAATTTCTTCACAACATTGTAAAATAAACTATTCTTGAATTGAATCGCAACGCTTAATTGCAATATTGCAATAATTAATTGACTTGCCAGGGGAGTGAATTGTATTTATAACAGGTTTAGGTAATGGGAATGATAAAAGTGGATGGTAGGTATGTACTGTGAGCATACGAATTGATCAATCAATGCATTGTTACATGCGTAGTAGCAAGTAAGGAAATACTGATAGTGATGTTAATGCAGGTGATGAGAGTGATGACGACGCTGATTTTAGTGATGGTAAGAGAACGCCACCTCATTTTGGAATCTCTCCAGAGTGAGCTTCTTCTGCATGTTATCCAGGGTGATGGGGTCAGCAGGGAAGGCTCCCTCAAGCAAGGACGGCCAGCAGCTTCCAGCCTCACGGTGTGACTTCACCAGCACCACGCGCAACACACGGCGGTCCTCTACATCATCCGGCACATCACCACATCATACCACCATCACCATATAATCACAGCACAACCAACACAACGCACCTTCACAACCTCCACCACATCGCAATCACAATACAACACCACAATACCATCATAATAAAGAATATGAAAACTCGCAGCAGTGAACCCATACATCACCTTCACATCATAACATCACCATCGCAATTTAACTAACACAAAACATCATCACCCTGTTTCACCGGCACCACAAACCCCATGCCATAATGAGGTAACAAAATCAAATATGGTGGATGGAAATGTTGGGAGTCTCACCCAGGGTCCATGTGCTTTCCTCTGAAATCACGGTTCCCCACAGCTTTCCCTGTAGAAAGGAGTGATTGGTCAGTGTAACAATGCTCCACAATCAATTTCCACACACACACTCGCACTGGCAAACAGCACAGTGTCTAGGCAATGGCAACAACACTGTGACATGCAATCAACATCACCATGCCCATTGTCATCACCTTACCAGTAGGAATTAACATATGCATGTATTACCATTGATTATTACGCTCATGATATGCATACAATCGAGTGGAGAAAATGCTTACATTTTTGCAAATTATATATTGTTACATTTTCACTTATGGAATTCACAAAACTACACGACAAATAAAAAACAGTACACAGGTGACGGTAAACCAGGACAATAATCGATTCCAACATTGAATTCTCACCCCGAGTCTCGATGATTCACTCAATCACTGGGGAATTCATGTTTACACACGGACCCTATTATCCACTGTCCCATCGTCTCTCCACTGCCATCCCCCTGCCATCCCCACTCTTGTTCCTATTCCCGATGTCATCAAGCTATGGTCCCTGATCCTTCTCTAATGCCTATTGTCATCTATCATCCTTCCTTCATTGGTACCTGCATGAGGTTGGTATCTGCATGAGGTTGGTACCTGCATGAGGTTGGTACCTGGATGATGGTGGTGCCAACGACCTTGACGAGTAGGGTGCGAGGTGCGAGCTCACAGCGAACTTCACGCGGAGGAGTTCCTACGGGAACGGACACCTCTAGCACTACCTCCTCC